AGATGGGGAGAGAAAAGGTAGAAGGGAAGGAGGGGGGACTTGGGGAATCAGGAGAATTGGGATAAAGGAAAGGTGGATAGGGGAACACGGAACCACAATTCTTAGTTACGGGAACCACTTTAGGGTGAGCAAGAGATTTGACCCTAGAGGGGCTCCCAAGTGCCCAACATGAGGTTCCCAGTTAGTTCCTTGGGCAGCTGAGGATTGGGAACCTGAAATGACCCTATCCTAGAGCAATACTGACGAATATCTTGCATATCATCATAGAACCTTCATCTGGTGATGGATAGAGATAGAGACAGAGACCCACACATGAGCACTGGACTGAACTCCCAAGGTCCCAATGAGGAGCAGAAGGAGGGAGAACATGAGCAAAGAAGTCGGGACCACGAGGCGTGCACCCACCCACTGAGACAGTGGAGCTGATCTACTGGGAGCTCACCAAGGCCAGCTGGACTGTGACCGAAAAAGCATGGGATAAAACCGGACTCTCTGAACATGGCGAACAATGAGGGCTGATGAGACGCCAAGGACAATGGCACAAGGTTTTGATCCTACTTACTGTGCTGGCTTTGTGGAAGCCTAGCCAGTTTGGATGTTCACCTTCCTAGATATGGACGGAGGGGGGAGGACCTAGGACTTACCACAGGGCAGGGAACCCGGACTGCCCTGTGGACTGGAGAGGGAGGGGGAGAGGAGTGGGGGGAGGGGGAGAAGGGTGGGAGGAGGGGGAGAAGGGTGGGAGGAGGGGGAGGGAAATGGGAGGCTGGGAGGAGGTGGAAACTTGTTTTTTGTTTATGTTTTTTTTCTTCTTTTCTTAATAAAAAAATTATAAAAAAAAATAAAAAAAAAGAACCTATAGATGGTAAGACAGGATTTATACATGGTCATAAATACACACATGTGCACACGCGCACGCGCGCGCACACACACACACACACACACACACACACACACTACAGAACTGATGATGCCTAGTCCTCTGCATGGGCTCTGGACATCTCTTCACATATACCCTTCATTATTTTAACTCTTTGGTCACACTTTCAGGAGTTATTGCTCCATAGCAGGATAACGGAACCCTTTTCCACCCCAAAGTGTCTCCTAAGACTTGCCATGGACCTTAAATGCGATCAGGATCACTCCATTCAGCTGAGTTGACTCTCTAAACCCTCTTTGCAATTCCACAAACCCAGCCTTGCCCCATGCGTGTGCTGTGCCCTCTGGGGAGCAGAACATATTTTACTCCTCTTGGGATTCCAAGCAACCAGGCATACAGCTGATCCTCAATATGGGTTCTGATGGGCTTAAACTGTATCTGTGGTAAGAATATGTCTGAAGAAAAATGTAACTTGAAACCCCTTAGAGTTCTAAGATTATAAATTACATACAAAGGCTAAAGAGGAAAATGTGCTAATATAAAAAATTATGCTAGTATATAATACCTGATGAATAGCAGATCTTTTTAAAACCTACTCCTTGATAAAATATTTACTGAGTGCTAAATGTGTATTCGTGTGTTTGTAACTGTTGTCTGTGTGTTATGTGTCTATCTGTGTGTGTGTTTATCTCTGTCTGTTGTGTGTGATGTCTGCGTGTGTGTACGTTTGTCTGTGTCTGTGTGTGTGTGTCTGGTGTGGGAGGTCTTTCTGTATATGTGTTGCTTTTATTGGTTAATGAATAAAGAAGCTGACTTGGCCTGTGATAGGGCAGAGCAGAACTAGGCGGGGGAGGGGACTATACTGAATGTTGGGAGAAAGGTGGAGTCAGGAGATGCCCATGGAGCCACCAGAGGGGAACAACACAAACTGCCAGCTGGAACATTGCTGTAGGCCATGAGCCTCGCGGTAAAATATAAATTAATAGAAATGGGTTAAATTAAGATGTAAGAGGATAGCCAAGAAGAAGTTAGAGCTAATAGGCCAAGCAGTGATTTAAATAACATAATTTCTGTGTGATTATTTCAGGTCTAAGCAGCCGGGAACGAACAAGGGGCTCCCTCCAACATCTGTCTCTCTGTATGTGCCCTGTGTGTCTCTGTGAGTGCGTGTGTGTGTGTATGTGTGTGTGCACACGTGCACGCGTGCGCATGTGTGTGTGTGTGTTACTGCTGATTGAACCTAGTGCTCCATATGCACACTAGGCAAGTACTCTACTGTTGAGCTATAACTTCATCCCTATTTTTACTGTTGAGTTTTAAAGTCTCACTAAGTTGCCCAGGCTACCTCTGAACTCACTTTGCACCAGGATGGACACTAAACTTGGGATCACCCTGCCTCAATGTCCTCAGTAGCTAAACATAGGCCTGAGCCATTGGGCCTGGCCAGGAACTGTCCTAGTAATAGAATGAAACAGTAAATGGGACAGAAAGCATCTCGGTGCTTACAGGACATAGGCTGGGACGACCTAGGGGAACCATGGATCTCCAAACACTAGCCTGCATGTTTTCTGTCTCATTGAGTCACTCCCCATTGACAGACTTGTGCATAATCTTACCTGGAGAAAAAAGAAGTAGAGAATGTGTCAACAACATTATAGTAATTTTATATTTTATGCATTGGGGGAACTCAAGATTCTAAGGAATTTACAATACAAGGACACTCTCATGTACTACCTAAATTCTCCAACATGCGGATAGACTAACCTGCATTTAGAAGCTTCAGTTATTTTCAGCTCTCTGGCCAATCTTTCCCTGTACGGTGGCCTTATTCATTCAACTGAACCGAAGGGGGAAAAAAAGGCATTAGCCCTCTCCTTATTCCTACACTGTACTTCTCAGGGGAGAACCGTGTCTTATTTCCCTCTGGGTCTTAAGCAGTACAAGGCATCCAACAGATGCTCACAATGGGTTCTGATGCAGATAATCACTTCTAGGTGTGTCGACAGTGGCAGCACATGGTGGGAGCAGCAACAAGTCAGAGTAAGCAGCAAATTCACTCAGTGGAGGAAGAATATCTGCCAGAGACTGAGAATCCTACACCTATTGCATCTCCCAAAATATTGAGAGACCAAAACAAGCCTCTCCCTTGGTGGACTACTCTCCACGCTTGCCTGGACAGGGACAACCCATAAATCTGAGCAGAGTGCAGATTTTCCAGCATCGAGCACCAGTGGCCAACCGATCAGTGGTTCTTGCCAGGTGTGAGGGCGCACGCCTTTAATCCCAGCACTCAGGAGGAAGAGGCAGGCGGATCTCTGTGAGTTCAAAGCCAGCCTGGTCTACAGAGTGACTTTCAGGACAGCAGCCGCTGTTTCACAGAGAACCCTGTCTTGAAAAAAAAAAGAGGGGGGGAGAGAGAAGGAGGGAGGGACTGAGGGAGGGACTGAGGGAGGGAAGGAAGAAGTGGTCCTAATTATGATTCAAATATCTTTGCCACTTACTGAAGAAAAAAAAATCTAGACAGAGTTAGGGCTCTATTGGAGTGTGCCACAGCCTCAGCCTGGAAGACCTGGGTACCAGGGTTGTAGGCAATAAATATCCTCATACCAGATGGAGGAAGAAAGGACAGAATAAAGAACTGAGGACCATAGGGGCTCACTTTTCTGTGTTGCTATACCTCTGTTGCATGGCATATATCTTCTGTAGAACTATTTCCGACAGCTCAACACCTGGGAAATACTTTTCTTTTCAGTGCTGGGGATTGAACCCAAAGCCTAGTGCATGCTGGGTACTTTACCATTGAACTGTAGCCCTGGGAAACACATTGAAATACCAAGAACCACTGGCAATTTTTGGAAAAGGGTAGGGGCTTGCCTGCCAGCCTGCCAGCCAGCCTAGCTGCAATGACAAGCTCCGGGTTAGGTGAGAGACCTTCTCTCACAAAATAAGGTAAACGATAGAGGGAGAGCCCAGAAGTTGACCTCATACAAACACACACCACAGCAGAATGAATAAATGAAGTTTTTTGTTTTGTTTTTGTTGAGTATAAAGGTAACAAACAGCCATGCTCAGAGTAAGTTTTACATTCAAAACAGTGCAATAGGGGCTGGAGAGCTGGCTCAATGGTTAGTGCGTAATGCTCTTACAAAGGACCCGAATTCAATTCCCAGCACCCATATCATGAGGCTCACAAACACCTGTAACTCTAACTCCAGAAGATCTTCCGGCCTCTGCCAGTATTGTTTTCATGTGCACGCACGTATGAACAAACACAGACAACCTAACAAAAATCAAAATACTAAAGGGCGTTTTAACAACTGCTGGGTTGAGTTTCTCTGAGATGGAGCTGCAGGGGATGCTGAACGCCAAGGGACTCCATCAGAAATCACCACCACCAAGTGCTGAGGTAGACATCTAACATGGTCCTCTCACTGCAAGTCTGGACGTCAGGGACTCTTGGATCCTCAGCAGCAAGTCTCACTTTCTCAGCCAAGTCTGCAGCAGGTAGCCTGAGGCTGCTAAAGCCCAAGAACCATCCTGACTATCCCATATAGCAGGATGACCCATCCCCTGATTGGCTGGGGTAGAGGCGCACACAGGAGTCCATATGCCATACTTAAAAGTTACACAGTAAGCTTCAGACCTGACTAACCACCTTAACAAATACACCATGAAAACAGCCAAAAGTCTAGATTAAAATTATAATTCTGAGAGTGTCTGAAGCTCACATCAGTGGGATCTGGCCTCTGGCGCTCTGCTCGTACCCTCGTGTGTGTGTGTGTGTGTGTGTGTGTGTGTGTGTGTGTGTGTGTGAAGACAAGAGCCAAGCTCAGAACTACTTGTAAAAGGGATTCAGGATGCAGTCTGGAAGCAAAGGTGTGGGCACCTCCAGGGGAAAGTACGGAACCCTCTGAAGCTCAAGCAAACAGGCTTTTCTTGCTTTGGCTAAGAACAACCATTTGGATTCGTCAGATTGTGATCAACTCACAACATTTTAAACTGGCTTTCCTAGCAAGCCAACTTGTTTAAAATTCACTAATCAAAATATTATCAGAAAATCAAAAACTCATCTCTAACCAGGATACACGTTATTCTTGAAAAGACGTAAATTCTGTCTTACCTGAATATATAGTTCAAGTACTGCTGGTCAATGTCACTGAAAAATTAAAGAGAGAAAAAGAGAAGACTCATAATAAAAAGAATTTTTAAATCTATAAATGGTCATTTTACTGTATTAATAAATTCTACCTCTAAGTTACTAATTTTATAAATTATCAAAGGAGAAGGAGCATTTCACATTCGAGATCAATTCTTGTCATTTGACCTGAAGTGACTTTAAATTTCACACAGCTCATTGAACATGGAGAGCTGGTGCCTGCATGGAGTCCTCAGCCCATGTTCTCATTTCTTTGGTGAGGGAAGGGACTCTGCAAACTACAGAAAGAGAAATGTGGACACCAACCTTTGACCTACAATCTGTCCTGTCTGCACAATATGCTAGTGCAATCAGTGGTGGCACAGAACTGTGGGAACAGCCAACCAATGTCTGATTTGACTTCAGGCCCACTCCATAGAAGGAACCAGAGACTAGACAGTCCTAAGGTAAAACTTAATGTAAAACCAAAGACAACTGGCAGATAGGTGGATGGATAGATAGATAGATAGATAGATAGATAGATAGACAATAGATAGATAGATAGATAGATAGATAGATAGATAGACAGACGATAGGTAGGTAGGTAGGTAGGTAGGTAGATAGATGATAGATAGATAGATAGATAGATAGATAGATAGACAGATGATAGAGACAGACAGACAGATAGATGATAGAGATAGTCAACAGACAGACAGATGATAGAGATAGATAGAAAGTCAGATTGATAACAGATAAATAGATAGAGATAGATTAGATAGGTGATAGACAGATGATACATACATAGATAAATAGAGATAGATAGATAGATGATAGATTAGATAGGTGATAGACAGACAGATAGATGATAGATAGATAGATAGATAGATAGATAAGATAGGTTATAGACAGATAGTAGATAGATAGATAGATAGATAGATAGATAGATAGATAGATAGACAAAACTGATTCCTGGTGATATTCTGCTATAGTCAGAGATCAGTGCCTTGTCCAGGCTTCATCAGAGAGGCTTCCTCCAGCAGGAGATGGGAACAGATCCAGAGACCCACAGCCAGACATTATGCAGAGTTTAAATTGGAGGTCTCTACCAAATCCCTCCCCTCAGAGCTCAAGGAACTCCATGGAAGAGGTGACAGAAAGACTGTAAGAGCCAGAGAGACAGCGACACCAGGAGAACAAAGGCCTCTGAATCAACTAAGCAAGGTGCACATGAGCTCACAGAGACTGAGGCAGCAAGCGCAGGGCCTACACAGGTCTGCACCAGGTCCTCTGTGTATATAATATATTACATTGTAGCTATTAGTTTGGTGTTTTTATGGGACTCCTGAGAAAAATGAATGAGTCTCTGACTCTTGTACCTACTTTTGGGACTTTTTCCCTCCTGTTGGGTTGCTGTGTCCAACTTCAATATGAAAGTTTTTGATTCATCTTACTATATTTTATTTTGCCATGTTTGGTTATTATCTCTTAGAAGTCTGTTCTATTTTAATGAGAGAGAGAAAGGGAATGGATCCTCCTTTCTCACACAATATATCCTAATTATAGTTTCTCCCAGTTTCTCCACACCTCCTCTCTATCTCATACGCTCCTTCAATGAAAGAAAGAAGGAAGGAAGGAAGGAACAAAGAAAGAGAGGGAGGGAGGGAGGGAGGGAGGGAGGGAGGGAGGGAAATTAGAAGCTAAATTACTGACATGGTAAAACTCAGAAGAAAATAAACCAGACAAATTAACCAACTGCTGTGGGATAATGCTCTTGTACATTATTTGTCACTCATATTGGTTTAATAAAGTGCTGGTTGGTCAGTAGTCAAGCAGGAAGTATAGCTGGAGCAACCAAACTAAGAGAATTCTAGGAAGAGGGAAGGCAAAGAGTCAGTCACCAGGCAGATGCAGAAGAAGCAAGATGAGAATGCCTCACTGAGAAAAGGTACTAAGCCACATTAAACACAGACAAGAATTATGGGTTAATTTACGTTGTAAGACCTGGTTAATAATAATCCTGAGCTAATTGGTCAAACAGTTTACAATTAATATAAGCCTCTATGTGTTTCTTTGGGACTGAACAGCTGCAGGACCAGGCAGGACAGAAACTTATGCCTACACCCAACACATTTCAGGATCAAACGAAGTATATTCTTATTTCAAGTTAGTTATCCAGGTAAGTAAAGAATGAACCAGTTCCCTCAAACTAGGAGTAAGATTAGAATGAAAAAGCCCACTATAGCACTGGACATGCATGTGACTGTCAAGAAACAGGAAATACAAATTCTAAACCCCTTCCATAGTGGGCCTATTCCTTTTGAACACAGTTGCCAGTTTAGAGCTAATACACACCTCACCTGGGTCAGTTGCTTCCCATTTATGTGTTCACTACTTTCAGGAGAGTCATTATCAACTCTATCAACCATCATGGACCGCTGAATGCACTGGCTTTCAGGGCTGGTTTCCTTAGCAGACAAAAATCCAGGGCCATGACATGGCTCAGCTGGTATTGCTGTTCTGAGGCCCTTGGTTTGCTCTCTAGGGACTGATGCGAGAAGGAGAAAACTGACTCCCAAAAGCTGTCTTCTCGTTGGGTGGTGGTGGCCCACGCAATTAATCCCAGCACTCAGGGGGCAGAGGCAGGCGGATCTCTGTGAGTTCGAGGCCAGCCTGGGCTACAGATTGAGTTCCAGGACAGGTTCCAAAGCTACAAAAAAAAAAAGAATCCTGTCTCAAAACAAAAACAAAAACAAAAAAACAAAAAACAAGCTGTCTTCTCGCCTACGTACAAACCATGGCATAAACATACCTCACATATGCATACACAGTATTTCTCTTTTAAAATCAAGAGTATACAAGTACAAAATTCAGCTAAAACCTTCTATCTCAGTGTATGTTCTAACACTACATGGTACTTAATTAAAGAACCATGTGCTATTCATCCAACCTCAGATTTAAGTGGGCATCATGTACTTTGAGTGGCTTTGTTTTTTCTGAGACATGGTTTCTCTATGGAGCCTAGTCAAGCCTTGAACTCTAGATTCTCCTGCCAAAGACAAATTTAGTGGTATTCACAACTGCACCTGGCTCTGCTGGCTTCTGGCTGCAAAAATACTTCATTCAAAGAACAAAAGGCAACCCAAGAAATAAAAGTCACAGGGGCAGGGCCTAGGGGCAGGATTCATCCCCTAGGCCTTCTTCTCCGGACCTCCAGGCATCTCTACACCCAGAGGCCAGCTGGTCAGTCTCTGGCCTCAGCTTGGTGGAAACAAGAATTCTTTCCTTTTACTTAAATTTTAATTTTTTTAAATTTTACACTCACCAAGACTGTTTCATTGGCTACCTACAATGACTGGGAACTAGGGAGACTTCCAGATATAAAAACTGAGTCAGATTTTAGGGGCAGTGGAATCAAGAACACAGAAGTTTCCCTTCTGAGCTAGGTGCAGTCAAGTGGCACCCTGAAAAACTAGAAGTACGGGTGTTTCATTAAATCACTACCTAGATGGCTGTGCCTAAAGAATAGGAGACTTCCCTGCCTCTGCACATATTGTTAAAGGCTGGTGACAATCGGCCAAGAGGTAAGTGGCCCAATGAACAACAAGAGATGGCTTAGAGGGAAGACTGTATCAAATGTGGGTCACATCTCTTTAGTCAACCAACTCCCCAGATGTTAAGAGCTCACCTTAACACGCTGGGCTTCTGGGATTTCCGAAGTATTCTGTAAGCCCCTAGAAAATAAGGGACACAAGTCATTGGTACCTTCTGTTTAAAGAGCTGCCTATACTTCCAGAAAAGCAGAAAATCCACAGGGAAAGGCAGCTGGGCTTCCCAGACCCCAAAAGAGTGCTGGTCCCTTCTCCCTATGTTGTCAGTTCCAAAGATGGGAGGAGAAAGACCACTGGCCCACATCATCGTGGTCAAATTAATTAAAGCAAGCAATTAACTAAAGCAAGCTTTTTTTTATATGGGCTGCCTCCTCCTAAGGACAGGTTTGAGAGGTCAGCAGCAGACATAAAGAATATAAGGTTTCTATAGCTTAGAGGTAAGGGAATTCCAATGGGGGATTTGGTGGGATTATAGGAAGAGAATATAAGCATGACAAGTTAGTCATAACAACCTCCAGAAACAGAGACATGATAGCATGGTGGTCATAACAAGTTAGTCATAACAACCTCCAGAAACAGAGACATGATAGCATGGTGGTCAGAATAAGGTAGTGATAACAACCTCCAGAAACAGAGACATGATAGCATGGTGGTCATAATAAGGTAGTCATAACAACCTCCAGAAACAGAGACATGATTGCATGGTGGTCATAATAAGGTAGTCATAACAACCTCCAGAAACAGAGACATGATTGCATGGTGGTCATAATAAGGTAGTCATAAGAACCCTTTTGAAAGAAGATAGGCTTGCTAAATGGTTATAGACAATTTTTTGAAACAAAGACATAATTGCCATTCCTGGAAAAGGCACTATAGAACCATTTGTAGCTAAGGTTACAGGTGTCTCCAATTCTGGAGAAAAAGAGGTTTAATCATAAATAGGAATGAGCCTAGTTTGTCTTTGCTATAAGTGGCTTTTAAGCCTAAGATGGAGACAGGCTGGTTCATCAATTTCACAGGGAAAGGCCCCAAAAGGGCGCTGGCCCCTTCTCCCTCTTTCATACACTGACAGGAGGAAACGAACCGAAGGGTTGCAGGAATACAAATCCCATGACCAGGTCAGTCACTGCGGTTGCCAGGGGAAGCACTTGACCAAGAGTGACCAGGTGGTCCAGGTGGCACTGCTAACAGCAAGTTCCACTTCCTTCCCATGATGCCCATAAAGAAGGAAACCTATGAGATTTTTTATTGCAACAAAACCAAACAAGATACACTGAACTCATGACTTGAAATAAAATTAGATTGTCTTTTGATTTCATCTTTTGGTTTTTTGTTTGCTACTGGAAGAATTTTAGACATGACATTCTGATTGTCTCTCAGGAAGCCTACATGTTCAGAAATGAGTTCCAGATGGACTACATAGAAGGATTTCCAGTGGCTTAGATAAAGCAAGCATTCCTTAGAAACTTGTGAAACAGGTTTTCCATCCCAAAAAGGAGTCCTTCCCAGCAGCTACTGAGCTTTCTTAAATCCACATTTGTCCACTCCTGTACTGTGGTGCTTTCTCCCTGTCTCAAGCATTTCTCTCTCTCTCTCTCTCTCTCTCTCTCTCTCTCTCTCTCTCTCTCTCTCTCTCTCTCTGCTATGCTCTTTCTCTCCATAGCTCTACTCTTCTCTCTGCTCTCCCAATTCCCTAGTCCTGGCCATGTCCAACCTGCTTTACTTCTCTCTGCTGTGGCCCCTTCCAGATGCCTCTGAATAGTTTCTCTCTTACTCACAATAAAAATCTTGCCCCTAATAGGGTGGTCACATCAGTAGTTTCTTTACTGAGTCTCCTCGCATACACTAAGTCTGCCATTTTTACGGAAGAACAACTAACATTACAAGTAAAACCCAAACCAAGGAGAGTTTGACACAAAAGAGAAATTATGTTGGAAATAGAAATACCTGAGGAGAAGTCCAAAGTAGAAAAAGAAAAATCTAGAAAATTTCCATTTAACTTCAACCTTAATATCTTAATTAATTTCCCTATTGTGTAGGGTCACTTAAAAACTGGCTACACAATAAGAGCTTAATAACAGTCCTCAGCCATTTAAATAAACACTTTTAAAAACTTACCTACACAAAATAAGTGAACGACAGCCCAAGAATATCCATCTGCATCGAACTGTAACACAGAATTAAAAAGAAAAGGAAAAGCTAAGATATAGACAAACAGAAATTTGTACAGCGGGCAGGAGCCAAGTGAAGAGCGAGCCTAAGGCTCCGGAGCCTCTTTTCCGGACCTAGAATCAGCTCATCTCCCCAGACATCTTCCTGGGTTCTCCACTGTCCCCTCTGTCCCCCACCAATGTGTTAGAATGTAAATCCGTGACATCCAAACACTTGTATGACTGTCCTGGTAAAAAATGGAATCTCTCTAGATGGAGACAAGCCATTGTCTCTTCCCTTAAGAGGTAATCTGGTTGGGTGGGTCCACGACCTGGCAGGGAACTACCCACAGAAATGCAGGACCACTCTAGGAAAACTGGCTCACCTTAAAACATGCTAAACGAACAAATGGAATAATTATTCTTTTAAAGACTTACTGTTTACTTCCCAGCACAGTCCCTACTGGCTGCAATGGGGTTCAGCTGTCTTCCACCTTTCTAACTCAGAAAGATGCTGTGCTAGTTTGAATGTAATTGGCCCCATAAGCTCACAGGGAGTGGCATTAATAGGAAATGTGGCTTGGTTGCAGTTGTGTGACCTTGTAGGAGGAAGTGTATCACTCTGGGGGTGGGCATTGAGTTCTCCCATGCCCAAACTACTCCAATGTCAGAGGTCATTTGCTGTTGCCTGCAGAATGTCTGCCTGAACTCCGCCATGTCCCACCATGATGATAATGGACTGAACCTCTGAACTGTAAGCCACCCCAGTTCAATGTTTTCCTTTATAAGAGTTGCCGTGGTCATGATTCTCTTCACAGCAATAGAAACCCTAACTAAGACAGATGTAATTTTGTCATTTTTTCTCTTTCGCCAGATACTGGCCAGAACCTACATATGCTTTTTCTGACACTTGGGTTTTCTGATTCTTTCTTCAATGCTCCACTCCTCCTCAACCATGGCGGCTGCCTGCCACCCTGTGGCTGATCTCCACACCAGCCAGGTCCCCCTCATCTCCTACCCCCACCCCCACCCCACTTCTCTCCAGGGTTCTCTGCAGGTGCTAAGATTTAGAGCTTGCTCATTTGGGGTGGTGCTATTTTAAACTCTAATGAAATTGTCCTCCAGTTTATGTTTGAGTTCACTCTTCTTTTTTATTAGTAAGACTAAGAACCTCAAAAGGAAACCCTGATTTCCCAAGTATCATCTGGAGACCAGGAAGGAGCTCTCAAAAACTCCAGTGACATGGCAAACATATCTTCAGTCATATCTACAGTCTCCCAACCTGAAGAACAAAGACATCCTGCATTTTCCCAAGCGTGACTGTTTCCCATTCAACACAGCCAAGGGGACTGTATGAATTTACTTTGGCAATGCTGGGGAATAGAACTCAGACATTCCACATGGTAGGCGAGCAGTTTCTCACTGCCCCACTTCAACACTGACTCTTCCTTTTCTGTAAGACTTGACATCATCAAACACTCCACAGTTTCCTTGTTCTGCTTCTATCTCTCGCTCTGCAGGAGGTAGGGATTAGAACAGAGTACACACACTAATAGTCTGACATAAAGTAAATCCCAGAATAGCCATGCCCCACCCGAGTTGCCCTGCTTTCTCTCTGCTTAACACCCCTCATTCTTCCATATTTAAACCTGGTAAGGAGAGAGGCTTGCTCCAATGTCACAAAGCTCTGGATAAAATTCTAAAATACACATTTACTAGCTTATTTGGAGTACACTCTTTGATTAGAAAACAGAGATTAAAAAGTCCCTACCCAGGTTCTGGCTATTACAAATAATACTGCTATGAACATAGTTGAACAAATGCTTTTGTCATATGATAGAGCATCTCTTGGGTATATTCCCAAGAGTGGTATTGCTGGGTCCAGGAGTAAGTTGATCCCGAATTTCCTGAGAAACCGAAACACTGACTTCCACAGTGGTTGCACAAGATTGCATTCCCACCAGCAATGGATGAGGGTACCCGTTCCTCCACAGCCTCTCCAGCAAAGGTTATCATTGGTGTTTTTGACTTTAGCCATTCTGACAGGTGTAAGATGATATCTCAAAGTTGTTTTGATTTGCATTTCCCTGATTGCTAAGGAAGTTGAGCATGACCTTAAGTGTCTTTTGGCCATTTGAACTTCTTCTGTTGAGAATTCTCTGCTCAGTTCAGTGCCCCATTTTTTAATTGGGTTAATTAGCATTTTAAAGTCTAGTTTCTTGAGTTCTCTATATATTTTGGAGATCAGACCTTTGTCTGTTGCGGGATTGGTGAAGATCTTCTCCCAGTCAGTAGGTTGCCTTTGTGTCTTAGTGACAATGTCCTTTGCTTTACAGAAGCTTCTCAGTTTAAGTAGGTCCCATTTATTCAATGTTGCCCTTAATGTCTGTGCTGCTGGGGTTATACATAGGAAGCGATCTCCTGTGCCCATTTGTTGCAGGGTATTTCCCACTTTCTCTTCTATCAGGTTCAGTGTGTTCGGGCTGATATTGAGGTCTTTAATCCATTTGGACTTGAGTTTTGTGCACGGTGATAGATATGGGTCTATTTTCATTCTTCTACAGGTTGACATCCAGTTGTGCCAGCACCATTTGTTGAAGATGCTTTCTTTCTTCCATTGTATACTTTTAGCTCCTTTATCGAAAATGAGGTGTTCATAGGTTTGTGGGATAAAATCCGGGTCTTCTATACGATTCCATTGGTCGACTTCTCTGTTTTTATGCCAGTACCACACTGTTTTCATTACTGTAGCTCTGTAATAGAGTTTGAAGTCAGGGATGGTAATGCCTCCAGAAGATCCTTTATTGTATAGGATTGTTTTGGCTATCCTGGGTTTTTTGTTTTTCCATATAAAGTTGATTATTGTCCTCTCCAGATCTGTGAAGAATTTTGATGGGATCTTGATGGGGATTGCATTGAATCTATAAATTGCCTTTGGTAGAATTGCCATTTTTACTATGTTGATCCTCCCAATCCAAGAGCAAGGGAGGTCCATCCATTTTTTGGTATCCTCTTCAATTTCTTTCTTCAATGCCTTAAAGTTCTTGTCAAATAGATCTTTCACTTCTTGGTTAGATTTACCCCAAGATATTTTATGCTGTTTGTGGCTATCGTGAAAGGTGAAGCTTCTCTGATTTCCCTCTCTGCTTCCATATCCTTTGTGTATAAGAGGGCGACTGATTTTTTGGAGTTGATCTTGTATCCTGCCACATTACTAAAGCTGTTTATCAGCTGTATAAGTTCTTTGGTGGAGTTTTGGGGGTCGCTTATGTATACTATCATATCATCTGCAAATAACGAAAGTTTAACTTCTTCCTTTCCAATTCGAATCCCCTTGATCCCATTATGTTGTCTTATTGCTATTGCTAGAACTTCAAGCACTATATTGAAGAGGTATGGCGAGAGTGGACAGCCTTGTCGTGTTCCTGAGTTTAGTGCGATGGCTTTGAGTTTCTCTCCGTTTAATTTGATGTTAGCTGTCGGCTTGCTGTATATAGCTTTTATTATATTTAGGTATGACCCTTGTATCCCTAATCTCTCCAAGACTTTTAACATAAATGGATGTTGAATTTTGTCAAATGCTTTTTCAGCATCTAATGAAATGATCATATGGTTTTTTTCTTTCAGTTTATTTATATGCTGGATTACATTGATAGATTTTCGTATGTTGAACCAGCCCTGCATCTCAGGAATGAAGCCTACTTGATCATAATGGATAATTTTTCGGATGTGTTCTTATGGAATATATACACGCTAGAGTACTACGCTGCGGTAAAAAACAATGACTTCTCGAATTTTGCATGCAAATGGATGGAAATAGAAAACACTATCCTGAGTGAGGTGTCCCAGACCCAAAAAGATGAATATGGGATGTACTCACTCATAGTTGGTTTCTAGCCATAAATAAGGGCCACGGAGTCTACAATAGCTGAACCTAAAGAAGCTAAGTAAGAAGGTGAACCCAAGGAAAAACATATGGTTATCCTCTTGGCTAAGGGAAGTAGACCAAATTGCCGGGGAGAAAATGGGATCTTGGGGGTGGGGTGGGATGGGGGTAAGGGGAGATGGGGAGAGAAAAGGTAGAAGGGAAGGAGGGGGGACCTGGGGAAACAGGAGAATTGGGAAAAAGGAAAGGTGGATAGGGGAGCACGGAACCACAATTCTTAGTTAAGGGAGCCACTTTAGGGTGGGCAAGAGACTTGACCCTAGAGGGGCTCCCAAGTGCCCAAGATGAGGTTCCCAGTTAGTTCCTTGGGCAGCTGAGGATTGGGAACCTGAAATGACCCTATCCTAGAGCAATACTGACGAATATCTTGCATATCATCATAGAACCTTCATCTGGTGATGGATGGAGATAGAGACAGAGATCCACACTGGAGCACTGGACTGAGCTCCCAAGGTCCCAATGAGGAGCAGAAGGAGGGAGAACATGAGCAAAGAAGTCGGGACCATGAGGGATGCACCCACCCACTGAGACAGTGGAGCTGATCAACGGGGAGCTCACCAAGGCCAGCTGGACTGTGACTGAAAAAGCATGGGATAAAACCGGACTCTCTGAGCATGGCGAACAATGAGGGCTGATGAGACGCCAAGGACAATGGCAGGGGGTTTTGATCCTACTTAATGTGCTGGCTTTGTGGGAGCCTAGCCAGTTTGGATGTTCAACTTCCTAGATATGGACGGAGGGGGGAGGACCTAGGACTTACCACAGGGCAGGGAACCTGGACTGCTCTGTGGACTGGAGAGGGAGGGGGAGAGGAGTGGGGGGAGGGGGAGAAGGGTGGGAGGAGGGGGAGAAGGGTGGGAGGAGGGGGAGGGAGGTTGGAGGCTGGGAGGAGGTGGAAACTTGTTTTTTTGTTTATGTTTTTTTTCTTCTTTCCTCAATAAAAAAAAAAGTCCCTACCCTTTCAAAATTGTCAAGATTTTGTGTGTGTGTATACACATGTACATGTGCGCACGTGTATATGTGTGTGTACACATGTATATGTGCGCACGTGTATATGTGTGTGTACACAAGTATATGTGCGCACGTGTATATGTGTGTGTATACATGTATATGTGCGCACGTGTATATGTGTGTACACATGTATATGTGCGCACGTGTATATGTGTGTGTACACATGTATATGTGCGCACGTGTATATGTGTGTACACATGTAATGTGCGCACGTGTATTTGTGTGTACACATGTATATGTGCGCACGTGTATGTGTGTACACATGTAATGTGCGCACGTGTATTTGTGTGTGTACACATGTATATGTGCGCACGTGTATGTGTGTGTACACATGTATATGTGCGCACGTGTATATGTGTGTGTACACATGTATATGTGTGCACGTGTATTTGTGTGTGTACACATGTATATGTGCGCACGTGTATTTGTGTGTACACATGTATATGTGCGCACGTGTATGTGTGTGTACACATGTATATGTGCACAGGTGTATATGTGTGTACACATGTATATGTCCGCACGTGTATATGTGTGTACACATGTAATGTGAGCACATGTATATGTGTGTACATATGTATATGTGCGCACGTGTATTTGTGTGTACACATGTAATGTGCGCATGTGTATATGTGTGTACACATGTATATGTGCGCACGTGTATGTGTGTGTACACATGTATATGTGCGCACGTGTATATGTGTGTGTACACATGTATATGTGCGCACGTGTATGTGTGTACACATGTATATGTGCGCACGTGTATATGTGTGTGTACACATGTATATGTGCGCACGTGTATATGTGTGTACACATGTAATGTGCGCACGTGTATTTGTGTGTGTACACATGTATATGTGCGCACGTGTATGTGTGTGTACACATGTATATGTGCGCACGTGTATATGTGTGTGTACACATGTATATGTGCGCACGTGTATGTGTGTACACATGTATATGTGCACACGTGTATATGTGTGTACACATGTATATGTGCGCACGTGTATATGTGTGTACACATGTATATGTCCGCACGTGTATATGTGTGTACACATGTATATGTCCGCACGTGTATATGTGTGTACACATGTAATGTGCGCACATGTATATGTGTGTACACATGTATATGTGCGCATGTGTATTTGTGTGTACACATGTAATGTGCGCACGTGTATTTGTGTGTGTACACATATATATGTGCGCACGTGTATATGTGTGTACACATGTATATGTGCGCACGTGTATATGTGTACACACGTATATGTGCGCACGTGTATATGTGTGTACACATGTAATGTGCGCACGTGTATTTGTGTGTGTACACATGTAATGTGCGCACGTGTATTTGTGTGTGTACACATGTATATGTGCGCACGTGTGTGTGTGTGTACACATGTATATGTGCGCACGTGTATATGTGTGTGTACACATGTATATGTGCGCACGTGTATATGTGTGTACACATGTATATGTGCGCACGTGTATTTATGTGTGTACACATGTATATGTGCGCACGTGTATATGTGTGTACACATGTATATGTGCGCACGTTTATATGTGTGCAGACATACAAGCCTATAGGTGTACAGGTGGAGGCCAAAGACAGACAGCAGGTGCATTTTTTATTTTTGAAATAGGGTCTTGCACTAAACCTGAAGCTCACTGACTGGCTAAAAGCCCCTGGGATTCTCCCTGCACTGGGCTTGTGCCCCCACACGCAGCTTCATTTTTCGTTTTTAACTTGGGCACTGGAAATCCAAACTCTGGGCCTCAAGTATTTACCCAATGAGCCATCTCCTGAGCCCATGTTTTGAACTCCAAAATAAGACAAAGTATATAAATCGTTGCCACAGAGCCCACCAGAAGGCAAGTCCCCATAAATGTTTGTTACTGCTAGGGCCCCTGAGGTTCTTCCCAGCCTTAATATCTCCCCCTGTCGTGATGATCTGTTGCCATGGCCTGTTTCCCTCTCCTTTGCTCCAAAAGCCTCCAGTGTCTGCTGAAACACACTAATGTACGTATCCTTGGAGCCCAGCTCAGTGCCTGACCATTGGTAGAGTCTTGATAATGCCAGGGAAGAAAGGGGGAAAGGTAAGAAAGGAAAATCTAGCAATGAGATGATCACTGGGGCTGAAATGAGTCTCTAAGGGCCTCCTAAGATAAACAGCCTGGGCCCAGGATGTCAGTGAAAACCACTCTGCAGAGGAAGAAGGAAAATCAACTGTGATTGATTGCCCAAAGCTGGGGTGACTCGGGTGAGGGATCACAGGTTCCCAAGGCTGGTCAGACAATGACATGCTGCCCACAGCCACTGTTGAAGGCCTGGAGAAGGTGGCCATCCTGGTAGCATCTGACCATCTTTGCAGGGCCAGGCTATTGTTCTGAAAGAAAGGCAGAGAACACTGCACGTCCGATGTGAGCTACGAAAGGCTTTGACGATGCTGTGCGTTCACTGGACTTACTTGTGCGTCCTGGAAGGGAAGGCACCCTGCAGCAGCCACAAGGAAGAGGGCACTGTGAACAGGCAGATAAAACAGGCAACGTCAGCTTTCAACATCAAAGCACGTCTCAGAGAGTGTAGGGCTGGGGAGGGGAGACACACGCATCCACTGTAAGCTCTGAGACCACCCAGGTACTCTGACCACCTGAGAGTCCCGCTATCTGTACCTCACAGTCATATGCTCTGCTGACAGCTGGGCATTTCCTCCTCTGTGACTCAGCTGGCTTGTCCCTAAAGCCCAGTATTCACAGAGTACCTGAAAACTAGAGTTGGCTTACCCCAAAAGTGTCCCTGTTCATCACAGATCCCCCCAGATACGAAAGAGGCAAACTGGGAGATCAGATCACAACCATGTCAACTACTAAATGAATGCGCATGGAAAGTACATTATGTCTTATCCACCGCTACTAATAACTGATCTCAAGATCTCTAATAATAGGGCATATCCATCATGTGCTCTTGACAAGGTGTCCTCAGGACACAGTGTCAAGTCTGTGGCTTTGAACTGAGCCATGAGGAAATGATACACAAATGTGGAGACCAGGCTGGCTGAGAAGGCAGAAGCACTTGTCACCAGACCTGATGGCCACTCATGGTGGAAGGAAAGAACTAACCCCAGTAAGTTGTCCTTTGACCTCCACACATCACACACGCTTCGGTACAATCACATGTGTGCACAACACACACACATACACATCACAATAAATAATTGTAGTTTTAAAAACTTTTAATGGGAAGGCAAGTAAAAAAACTACAGAAAACGGTTGAAGAACTGACCAAGATTAAAGGATATGCAGGACACGTGCCACTCTGGAGGGGAAACCGGTACAAAACACAAACGGTCAAATAAAAGCATCAAATGGATGCCAGGCTTCTAATGTCACTGGTTATGTCAGGGGTGGCTGACATTAGGAGACATACAAAGTATTTAAGAACAAGGTTATGGCTATACAACTTGTTCTCAAGTAGATCAGAAAAATATGAATAATGAAATACATATTCTTACATACATTAAGTTATATTTGTATATATGGATTCATGTATATATGAGATATATGTGTGTATGTATATGAGATATATATGCATAGTATTTAATTTAATAAAAATATTATCAATAAAAAATTAAAACTTTAATCTTTATTTCCCAGATAAAAAGTTTTTTTTAAGAAAAACCTCTTATAATCCTGAAATACAGGTGAGGAACCACAGAGCTGGGATTGGCTTCACAGTCATCCAGGAGTGAAGCAGTGGGTGGATCTATAAGCTAGAGCCACTGAACTGGGAAACACAGAAACTTGATTATATTATTCTGTCTAATTTTTACTAACTATTGTTTAAAACGTTCTCTTACAAAACCCCATCACAGCTGGGCAGTGGTGGCACATGTCCTTAATCCCAGCACTCGGTAGGCAGAGGCAGGCAGATCTCCCAAATTCAAGGCCAGCCTGGTCTACAGAGTGAGTTCCAAGACAGCCAGGGCTACACAGAGAAACCCTGTCTAGAAAAACAAAAACAAACAAACAGCAAGGACAAAATCCACAGCCAATCAGAGGTATTTTCAGAACTCTCCTGGCTGCAGGCTTTGTCTAACAATTCTCTCCAAAGCACAAGCCTCTGCTCTGCTCTGTCTCTAGTCTGCTCTGGCCATTGTATAAAGACAACAACACAGCCCTGGGCACCTTCTCTGCTAACAATTTGTTACACCGAATGACAAGGAAAAGAGGTCAAAGGCATTTTGTACAACAGTGGTATTCAGTACAGATGCTGTCATCTTCACCTGGAAAAATTTTTATTTCATTTTTTGTTTCAGTAATGGGGCCTGACCCACACATGCTAAGCAAGGGTTCCACCCCTGAGCTATACCAGCCCTGCTTTTACTTTTATCATGAGACAGGATCTCACAACCATGCCAAGCTGACTTTGAACCTGCAATTCTTGTGCCTCAGCCTTCTGACAAGTTGGTATTACAGGGTTTTCTATGCCACCATTCGTGACTTTCAGGAGATGTTTACATATGGCATTATCAAGCATTTTATACCAATATGTTATCTATGTACAAAATTTTATATTCTTTTTATAGATCACATACATATATACATGTACAAACACGCACACCCATGTAACATACAACAACCTGAACAAGTCACAACTCAGCACATGATGATGACCCACCCCAGTGGTCCTCCTGACTGATAGGTGGCTCTATACTGTACCCAGACTTGCTGTTTGGGCACTAGGCAGAAGGAGGCCCTGGAGATCCCTCATAGCTAGACCCTACCTTTGGGAAGGTCAGAACAACATAGGCCAGCCTGTGGCCCAGAAACCTTGGCACTCAGCCTACCCACCTGACACCATGGTGAATTTTCAGTGTCCTAGAGGGCAATAATGGCAAACGGGAGTGGGGACTGTCAGCAGCTTTCTTGGTCAGCACAGAACAGGCTGGTTTTAGTGGGAAGGAGAATCCTGATGGGTTTGAGGGCTGACTCAAGGAGTGGAAGGCCACACGGGGGATGAGCAGGACGAGGAGTGTACATGCATGCGCAGGCTAGAGGTCATGCCTCAGGAATGATCCACGTTGCTGGGTTTTTCTTACATTTATTTTATTCTGGTGTGGGAGAACTGTCTATATTTTGTCAATTATGCTTTAAATAAATGCTGATTGGCCAGTAGCCAGGCAGGAAGTATAGGCAGGACAACCAGACAGGAAGTAGAGGCAGGTCAATGAGAACAGGAGAATTCTGGGAAGAAGGAAGCTCTCTCTTCAGTCCTGTCCAGACACCAAAGAAGCAGGATGTGACCTGCCCCACTGAAAAAGGTATGGAGCCATGTGGCTAACATAGGTAAGAATAATGGGTTAATATATGTTACAAGAGATAATAATAAGCCTGAGCTAATGTGATAATCAGTTTATAACTTATAGAGACATCTATGTGATTTTCTCTGGGACTAAACAGCTGGGGAACTGAGCAGACAGAAACCTCAGTCAACGTTATTCATATGATGTTTACTTACATATATGTCCGTGCACCAGATGCATGCCTGGTGCCTGAGGAAGTGGTGAGCCTCCATGTGGGTGCTGGGAATCAAACCAGTTCCTTCACAAGAACAAGTGCTCTTAACCACTGAGCGAGCTCTCAAGCCCAGATCCACTTTGTTTTTTGAAATAGGGTCTCAAAACCATGTCTTTCCCATTATATCACACACTGGAATTACAAGGCTTTTAAAATGGAGCTGGGGATTGATCATGAGCATCGTGCTATGTGCTTGTGTGGTAAGCACTAAGAACTGAGCAATCCCACCACCACTCCAGTTTTGTTTATTTTTAGATTTTAAGTTGTTTCCATGTTTTTCATTTGGTTCATCACTACTACTGCACAATTAGTGAAGTTTTGTGTACTCAGCATAGAAATATAATATGGGTTGGTTTTTCCCCTTGCAAGAAAATATTGCACCCTTTTGATCCCAGCACTCGGGAGGTAGAGGCAGGAGGAGTTTAAGGCCAGCCTGACCTACATAGTGAGTTGCAAGACAGCCAGGACTACCCAGAGACACCCTATCTCCAAAAAAGAAAACATTGCAAAAAGGAAAAAATAATTTTAAAAATAAGAAACAAAGTACAAATATATGACCGCTGATAAGAAATTCCTCCTTCAACTGTTTCCCAACAGTTTACATCAGGTCTACTCGGACATCCTTGGGGTGTTTGTTTTCTTTTAACTTACCTACAGATCTTTGTGAGCGATGTTTTCTGTATGAAAGAGAAAAGACATAATACATTAGTCTTTCCAAACTCCTTCACTTCCTTCAACAAAAAAATTTAGATTAAAAGCAAATAAATTATTAAACCAATTTTTAGGGGGCTTAAGAGCTCACTGCCAGGGGCTGGAGAGAAGGCTTAGCAATTAAGAGCTCTGGTGGCTCTTCCAAAGGTCCCGAGTTCGATTCCCAGCATCCACACAGTAACTTACAACTATCTATAACAGCAGTCCTGTGGGATCCAATGCCCTTTTCTGGGGCGCATGCATGCAGACAAAATTTCCATATACATAAAATATATAAGTAAATAAATCTTTTCTCTTTTAAAGAGAGCTTGCTGCCCTAGTGTTTCCTGCTGCTTCCTGTTGCTTAGACAAAGAATGACAGGTGGCGGCAGAGTCCTCTGCCAAAGCACTCTGACCACGGGTACAGTGTTTGTTTATGAACTAGATGATGTCGGTGTCAATTTTCAAATCTTACACACAAATCCAAGGACATGGAGAGAAATCAATGTGATCTACATCTGAAAAGAAACTAATCTCCAGTTCAACTTCTAGACTCTGTGTATGTATTCATTTGTTTACTGATTTTTTAAAAAATATTATTATTTAAGTGTGTGTGTGACTTTACATGCACCACTTGCAGATGCCCACAGAGGCCAGAGCTGGAGTTACAAGGTGACTGAGTATAAGACACTCAGAGTGGGTACTGGGAACCAAGCGCAGGTCCTCTGAGAAGGCAGAAAGGAGTCAAAACCTCTAAGCCGTATTTCCTGTCAGAGCTAATGGTCTTGGGAAGAGAACTAGTCTTGTTATATTTCCCAGGCTGTCCTTGAACTCCTAAACTCAACCGATCCTGCCTCTGCCTCCTGTGTAGCAGTAACTCCAAGCAAGCATCATTGTGCACAGCTACTCCTGTGTCTCCCTAAAGATCCCTTTCACTCACCCGGCTCTGACTGGGCAATGTTGGACATTCTCTGGACTAACAGAAATTCTGGAAACAGAAATGGGGATAAGGAGCATTTATCTCACCCTCAGAGAGAAGGAAGAAACAGCAGGTTGGGAGAGTGTAAACCTGGCACTTAAAGTGCCTTGAAATGAGGAACTTCTAACCTGGACTCTCTCCGTCTTTTTAATCAGATCAAGTAAAATTAACCCGTGGCCCAGAAGAGTAAAGTTTTAGCAGAGTCACACAGATTTTTCTGCTTTATGATGAAATAGGAGGAAGAATGACAGCTTAAATCTGGCTATTTCCGGATCATTTTAGTATCTGGGACAAGCTACAACTTCTGACGCCTGTTCAGATGGTGTGTTGCTTAGAACAGTGCTGCAGCCAGGCACAGAGACACACCCCTGTCATCCCAGCACGAGAGAAGGAGAGAGAGAGAGCACTGACAGAAGAAAAATGTGGTCTGCTCTTCAGGATACATTAAGTTTTCACGTGCTGGTAAGTGATCACATTTTTGTTCTTTTAATAAGCAGCTTCTATTCGAGAACAAAGCTATGACTTGTATCTTTGGGGTCTTTTGAACAAGCATGGCGAGCATGGGCAAGCATGGCTGTGCTGCCCCCTAGTGGGTAGAGTGCCTGGGCTCATAAGACCTGCATCTTCGATCTTGTTATTGTAAAATGTGCTGTCTTTCAAGCTATATTAGAAGCTAAAGATAGTGGAGCCCTCACAAGTCTGGCTGAAAGCAAGCATGGAGGGCACGGGTTGTGGGGCCAGTCTACCTTTGCTAAGAATAGCATGTCTTCCCAGCAACCACTGCAGGGTTTACCACACAGCGGTCCAGTTCCTAACAGGTCAGCCTCTTAGGCTTTTTTTTTTAAATTAAATTAACCACCCCCCCACCCCCATTTTACCTAGTCTGGGCTTTGTTTCTTTCGGTACAGGGTATCATGTATCCCAGGTTGGCTTTGAACTCACTCACCTTCCAGTGCTGGGATTCAGGAGTGTACCACCACACCCAATTATTTTGTTTTCATGAGACACACTCTGTATCTCAGACTGGCCTGGAACTCACTATATAGCTTAAGCTGGTCTTGAACTCAAAATAACTTTCCTGCCTCAGCCTCCTGAGAACTGGGATTACAGGTATAAGCTACCATGCCCAGATCTTTTCTAAATTTCACACCCTTTCAGACAGACTAAAGAGGCTGGGAAACAGAGTGATAACACACTGCATAGCGCCATTCCCCTAGGGCTCTGAGAACAACTTGGTCATTACTGTAAGGCATTCTCATTTTCAGGGCCTTGCTCCAGAAATAAGTACTCCCAATATCTCAGGGTTTGGGGTTACAAAATGCAACTCCTCAGAAGTCCTATCTCAGCTAATTATGGTAGCACAGGTGTATAGCTTCAGTTCTTGGGAGACTGAGACAGGAGAGCTGTAAGATCAAGGCCAGCCAGAACTACACAGTGAGAACGACTCCAGTTCCGAAGAGAAATGGTCACATGACAACAATTACAATAAGATATAATCCAGATATCACTGTGGATAGTCTAATTTCCTGCAAGCACGGATTCGAGTGTGCCAGGCTTTACCTGTATTGTCTAGTGTAATTATGGGTCAACAGACAAGACGGGAAGGAAATTAGGGAAGAGGCTGTCCAAGGTCTTAGGGTTTGGGCTCCACATTCTTGTTCTGTACCCGACTCTGTAATGGCATAGCCTGCCTGCCAGTTCTTCAGTGATAACCTCTCTGACCTTTAGCCACCAGCCTTCAATGGCTTCCTCTGCCTACCTGAAGTGTAGAAAACCCCAGTCATCCCATGTAGCTCACTGGAAAGGCTTCCCTGTGGTCCCCACATATGGCTGCAGCCCACATATGATCCTCGGGGCATCAGAGCCCACGTGTTAACGTCAGCTCTTCCCTACTCAACTCCGAGCTTCACAACGGTCGTGAATGCACTTTCCTCTCTCAACTTCGGGCCTGGCAGAATGTTTGCTGTTTAGTACAAACAACACACGATGAAAAGCAAGCCAACAGAGGCAGTATTCTAACACACCAGGCTATGAGGCTAATCCCACAAGCCACCATCCCCTTCCAGCCAGAGCCAGCAGGGGAGGGGCGGCACAACAGAGCGAGAACACACAGAATGAGCTGTGGATGGTGGAAATGAATTGCAGGCTCTACACCAAGTAAACTCTCGTAATCTGGGAATGATATCAGGAGGAGTCAGTTTTACTCTCTGGAGTTTATAAATTTATATATAACGGTAAAGCCAACTCTCCTCATAATTTTTGACACTTATTATTAGTGGGGGGCACATCAGCAGGTCTGGGGACAGCTCATGGCAGTCAGTTCTCTTCCACTGTGTAGGTTCCAAGACTCAAACTTTGTTGTATAGCTCGGAGGCAGCCCTTACCCAAAGAGACCCCTCAGTGGCCCTGACTGTAACATCTGACAGCGTGTGAGGGAGACAGCGCTGTGTCCGTCACGGAAATATATCCTTCCAGGTTCTCAGCTATAATGACGTAGAACATATCACACAACAAGGAGGTGGCACAGACGGCATTTCAGGTCCTGGGCTACAGAGTGAGACCTTGTCTCCAGGATACCAGATCTGCTGGTACAGACCTGGAGTCCCAGAACCGTGGAGGCAGAAGCACAGGGATCAAGAGGTCAAGGCCAAGTGCTGAGGAGGCAGAGGCAGGGAGAGCTCTGTGGTCCAAGCCCATCGGTCTACAGAGTGAGCTTCAGACCAGGACCACAGGCACAAAATGAGACTCTGACTCGAAAAAAAAAATCAAAACAAAGGAACAAACGGAAATCCAGAAATCTTCATCTCAAAGAAGATTTTAATGACAAAGTGCTAAGAAACCACCTACGTGTGAGCAAACAGGGACTGGCTCACACACACTCATCCAACATGGAGCAGCAACAGCAGTAGGCTGTCTGAGACTTGACAGATGAAAAGCCATTGTGTCAGTACATCTATATGTGTACAAGGAAAATGTCTGTAAAAATACAGGCTTTTCTGGTGTTTTTTCCTTTGCATTTCCTACAGCTGCTTATATCTTACTACCTTCACTATGGAGAGAGGTTTGTGGGTTTTCTGAGAGACAGGGTCTCGCACATCCTGCATAACCAGGTATGACCCTGACCTTCTGATCCACTTGACAACTGCCAGGACCACAGGCACACGCCACCACAACCAGGGCTTCACATGAGCTAAGGACACTACCGGCTGAGTTATGTCCCCAGACAAAGGTTTGTGACTAAAATTCTCACCCACTTGCTTGCTTCGCCATTTACTCTGATCAGAACTGGTGCTAGCCAGGTGTGTTGTACACACCTCAGGGTTAGAGTTTCAAGGTCTTCCTCAGCTATACTGTGAGTAGAGGTTTGAAATAGCCTGGGCTAATACCCTGTCTCAAAGGAAAAGAAAGAAATGGCTTGTTGGTTTGTGTGACTAAGGAAATAGAGTTAAAGACTCTAAATATTCTGTGTTCCCTAGTTACTATCACTAATTCTTTCATCTTGAAGCCTGATCCTAATTTGCAAGTAAAGAAGGGTCAGAAAAGTCCTGGGGTTGCTCTCTCACTTGACTTGATGCCCTCATCTGTAGAATCTTCCTGACCAAACCAGGAAGCAGAACTCTGTCGGGGTACAGGCCTTCATTTCTAAACTCATGGCTTAAAAACCTGAGTGATGTGATTCAGCCCCCACCCCAAAAAAAGCTCAGAAACTGAACTTGAACCTCAGAAGCCCTGGGGCTTGTTCCTGGGGTATAAAGAGGTTTATCATAGGGCTCTGCTCCGAGGGAGGGGAGTCAAAGGAAGTAAACTAGGGATGTAGAGAAAATAATGCCCTGTCACCAAACCATAACACACACACACACACATGCACACGCACGCACACACACATGCACACGCACGCACACACACATGCACCTGAAAAAGGTTGGGGGGCTGTAGCTCAATGGTAGGGTGCTTGGAGAGCATGCATGAAGTTCTGGGTTCCATCTCCAGCACCACAAACATGGATATGGTGGAACAGATGCATAGCCCTTATCTACAGAGCAAGTTACAGGCTAGCCTGAGGTACATGAGAAGGGCATCTTGGGCCCTAAACTAACAACAGAGTCAACACGTAAAGTGATGACAGATATTCTTAGCCGTGTCTCTATGACCCAACGCTAACAAAGCCAAACTCACAGTAACAAACACAGTTACCCATCTCCTATCTCAAATACCTATCCTGAGTTTGAGACTGCATAGGGCAACCTTCAGACTGCATAGTTAAAACCAACAGTAAAGGTTTGTACAGTCATTTTTTAACTTCATTGGCCTGAGGAGGTAAAATGTGATTTCTGTGCCCAAGGCTCATGTCACAGGGCAGAAGCCTCGATGGGCAAAGGCTCGGTGGACTGCCTGCTCCTTCACTCACCTCCCTGGTCCTCCCGCATTGCCTCGTCCTTCGAGGTCTGGCTTCTCCTAACTGTTCCTCTCTTCATTACTGCTTGCTGATCTTTCTTCTGGTCCCTTAGTCTTTCTTTCTGTCTGGGAAGATGCTCCAACACAGGCATCCCTAACTGTAGCTCTATTCATTCAAAGACTCGGGTGATCTTCTAGTTCCTTACAGTGTCAGATAAGACTAGGCCTTGAAAGAAGAGTAAGTCTCCGTGAGCGAGCAAAGGCCAGCACCTTGTATGACACTCAGCTGTGGGCTTCCTTGTGCTGTTGCGACCAGCTACAAGTGAGAGTGATTTCCCACACCAAATTCTGTGTCCTGAAGGTCTGGTTCTTCCCTGGCCTGGGGTCCAGCTGCACTGCCCATCATCAAGCAAGATGGGTCCCCTGAATCAGTGACCACTGCCAGGCAGTCTCACTGGAACTGGTGGGAGAAAAGGGCTTACATTTGGGTCATGTGCTGGCTGGTTTTAACGTCAACTTGACCCAAGCTAAGGGAACCTCCATTGAGAAGAAGCCTCCACAAGACTGGGTTTCAGGCAAGCCTATAGGGCATTTTCATAATTAGTGATTGATGTGAGAGGGCCCAGCCCATTGTGGGTGGAGCCACCCCTAGGCTGGTGGTCCTGGGTTCTCTAAGAAAGCAGGTGGAGTAAGCCAGGGAAGCAAGCCAGTGAGCAGCACCCCTCCACAGCCTCTGCATCAGTTCCTGCCTCCAGGTTCCTGCCCTCGCTCCTGCCCTCACTTCCAGTTGTTTCTGGTGTTTCATCAGAGCAACAGGAACCCTAACTAGGGCAGGCTACCGAGTGAAAAGCGGGTCTCTGACGTTTAAAGTAAGGGCTATGAAACATTTTTTTTAAGGCAGTTTGCTTATTTACCTCTTTCCAGACACACTTCTGGTACCCGCAGATGAGAACTTCAGCTACATTATGCAAAATGAAAAACACAGGAACAGCCTGAAAGCAAACAGAATAGCAAACATCAAAATACGTTCTCCCATCTTTCAGTCACTTGACTTTTGTTTAAAAATAAGGTGTATGGGAACATGCAGCCTTCAGTCTCTCCAGCAGAGAATCTTCTAGGCCAGCACTTTGCTGGAGTATTCTTCATTCTTCCTCCAAGATTTATTTATTTATTCTATGAGTAGGTTTTCTGCATGCATATTTGTGTACCATGTGTAGGCACAGCTAGTGGAAGCCAGAAGGTATCAGATTCACTGGAACTGGAGTTACAGAAGTGGGAGCCACTATATTGGTGCTAACAACAGTGCCCAGGTTCTCTGCAAGAGCAGCAAGTGCTCTTAACCACTGAGTTGTCTCTCTAGCCCTTGAAGTATTAATTTTGGTGGGGTGTATGTCAAGGTTCCTCTCCTATGGGGTTTTCATCCTCAGACTTAAGTACCCCCTCTGTATCATGCACCATGCCAGGTGCAGGGCACAAATCCCATGAGCATAGTGGACACACTGTCCCCAGCATGCAGGAGCTCAGGTGGCGTATCCTACAAGACACAGCGAGCCCAGCGAGGGAAGAGCAAGCCTTCATGGTGGAAATGAGGTCTTAAAACACAGAAGTGAGCAGCTTTATCATGTGATAGGGTGACCTGGAGCTGATCAAGCTAAGAATTTTAGAACAGACTTTTTGACTAGTTGAAACCATGGCTTTTGGTTTCCTGACTATGAATCCAGAAATGAGATTAAGTTTGGGGTTGAGAATTTAGAACTTTGGAGTTGAACTAAGGACCCAGAGGAGGTTTAACTGTCTAATTACACACTGTGGGCAGTTGTTTCCATCTCCCTTGGCCTGGCTGACCAGCAGCTGCAACGGGACCTGTCTGTAGGCATAAAACTGATTCCAAGCACACAGATAACAAGCACATGGATAATGTCACATGATTAACAGCTCCAAGTTGCCCCAGGATTGTTTATTTTGGAGGCAGGATCTATGAGCTATACAGCCCAGGCTGGCCTCTTAGAGATGAGATTACAAGCACGCAGCTCAACACCCAGTGTGCTAACAGTCAGCAATTGTTGACTTTGCATTGTTCCTTAACCCTCTTCCAAAGCAGATGACACTGTAGCTATGAGCCTCACAGACAAGGCAGACAAAGTCTCTGAAACTTCCAGGCAAGCTGCTCTGCTGTGACATTTAAATCCCAACAGGGATGTAAATCCCAGTGACCCTGCCACTGTCCAGGTTCAACAGGACTAGGATGAACCAGATCCTGACAGCTAGTTAGAGGTGTGCCTTATCCTTGTGGTTCTAGCACTCAGGAGGCTAAGGCAGGAGGATCACTGCTGGTTCATGGCCAGCCTGGGCTACAGAGTGAGTTACAGGCCAGCCTGGGCTACAGAGTGAATTACAGGCCAGCCTGGACTACAGAGTGAGTTACAAGCCAGCCTGGGGTACAGAATGAGGTACAGGCCAGCCTGGGCTACAGAGTGAGATGCTTTGACAAAAAAAAAAACAAACCAAATCGTGGCAGCAATAAAACTGCTAAACTCTGAAATGGGTGAGCTCTAACCAAAGCTGTGTTGTTTTAAAGGAGGTATCACTGATTCTTCCTTATGTTTTAAATCTAAGTTTCTCAAGCCATTTTTCCTACTGAAAAGCTAACAGATTAGAGACAGCCAGCCCACAGCTGACCAGTTAAACTGTATCCCCAGGACAGAGATCGACCAAAAGCAAAGCCAACTCTTCCTTGGCCTCTAGCTGCAAAATCCTCCCTCGAAACCCTGCTGTTTTGGTTCTAGAGGCTTGCTGTTGCCTGATGCCTTGGGAACACCAAAGCATTTCCCCCATTGCTGGGTCCAAATATTCAAAGAGAAAGTTAAGAGAGTATGGTTTATTCTGGCTCACAGTTTGAGGGGATCCCGTCCATCATGACTGACAGGGAAGGAAGGCATGTGGCACCATCATCAGCAAGAGGTAGCTAGTCACCCTGCCTCTGTAGTCAGTGTTCTGGTTCCTGCTCTCTTGCCGTGATAAGACACATGACCACAGCAACTTATACGGCAGGCTTGCTTACAGTTTCAGAGGGTTAGAGTCATGATCAACCATCATGGAAGGGAGCATGGCAGCAGGCAGGCAGCCATGGCACTGGAGCAGCAGCTGAGAGCTCACGTCTGGAGGCAACAACCATCAGGCAGAGAGAGCTAACTAGGAATGGCATGGGCTTTTGAAACCCAAAGCCCACCCACCTGCTGTGGGACAATGGTCTTATATCCTGTCACTTGTATTATTTTAATAAAATGCTGATTGGCCGGTAGCCAGGCAGGAAGTATAGGTCAGGCGACCAGGCAGGAAGTAGAAGTGGGGCGATAAGAACAGGAGAATTCTGGGAAAAAGAAATGGTGAGTCTGCAGTTGTCATCCAGACACAGATGAAGCAGGATGAGAATGCCTCACTGATGAAAGGTACCAAGTCACATGTCTAACACAGACAAGAATTATGGGTTAATACAAGTTATGAAAGTTAGTAAGGGAAGTAGACAAAGACAAGATCTCCTGAGTAAATTGGTAGCATGGGGACCTTGGGAGAGGGCTGAAGGGGAAGGGAAAGACAGGGAGGGGAGCAGAGAAAAATGTAGAGCTCAATTTAAAAAAAAAGAGCTAATAAGAAGCCTGAGCTACTAGACCAACCAGTTTATAATAAATGTAGACCTCTGTGTATTTCTTTGGGACCAGGTGGGACAGAAACATCTGTCAACAAACACCCCAGTGACACAACCCGGTCCTTCCTTAACAGTTCCACCAACTGGGGACATTCAGACATATGAGCCTATGGGGGTCATTCTCATTCAGACCACCACAGTCAGGAAAGTGACCCACTTCCTTGAGCAAAGATCCACCTCCTAAAGGTTCTGTGGCCTTGAAATACAGTGGCACCTGTTGGGGTCCAAAAGTGATTGGATACAGGAGTCTATAGGGGTATTTCACACTCAGCCACACACTGCCCTTTATTACCCTCATAGGCTTAACTTCGGCAGGACCTACGTGGGTTAAATTAGACAAAAATTATGATATGTGGCGACAGTAGTAACAGTAGGTAGAAAACACTGAGTGTTTACCGTACACCAGATGACCGCCTGCTGCATACTCACCATTAACATCCCCACTACACTGATGAGAAAACTGAGGGGCAGATTGCTTCTGGTTCTTAACCTGCTATTAATTGCTTAAAACCACTTTTTCTGAGTTGTCATCATTGAAATTGCCAAGGCTTGACCCAAAGACGTACGTGCTAGGCAAGCTTCTACTCTGAGCCACACCCCAGCTGAGGCCACTCTAGATATTTGTTTCCCCTACGCAGGACCAAGGGAGTTTATTTTTATACCCTTATGATTTTGGGGATGATCTCAACAAGACAAGTTCCTATCATCAGCCACCATAGAGCCCAAATCATGATTCTGGAAACAAATCTGCCAAATGTAATTGATCACGTTGTACCTCAGGCCATTTCATTTAATTATATGGGTGTACAATCCACAACTAAGTAATTAATATTTCACCCACGTGCAAATGAAATTCTTTGATATGAAGATTAAATTGTTAACTATGAACTTAGAAGTTTGTCATTATTCTCATGCTTCCTGGGATACAATTTTGAAGTCTCAGAAAAATTTCCCATAGAAAACCCTGGTCCTGACCACAGACATGGCCTCTGGTCAATCTATAGAGGTATAGATGACCCTAAGGCAAGCACGCTCCTGGGTTAGCTTCTCCTTATTAGTATTATTACATTTTAGTTATTTCTGTGCATGGAGGGAGTGGGTGAGTGTGTGACCTCAAGAAGAGATCAAAGGACAGCCTACAGGAGGTAATTCTCTCCCCACCAAGCGGGTCCCAGGGATTGAACTCGGGTCCTCAGGAGGTAATTCTCTCTCCACCAAGCAGATCTTAGGGATTGAATTTGGTTCTTCTGCCTACAGGAAGTAATTTTTTCTCCACCAAGCAGGTCCCAGGGATTGAACTCGGGTCCTCAGGAGGTAATTTTCTTTCTCCAACAACTAGGGTCCTCAGGTTTACTGGCAGGCACATCTACCTGCTGAGGCATCTCACTGGCTCCCTACGTTAGCTTTTTAATTTCTGTAAAAGAATGACAGTCCTGTTTCTTCTCTTTAGATGATTTTTAAATATGTAGATATGTCCTTGATGTATTCTATAAAACAATTGCATGCAGGCAGGCCCTCTCCATAGAAAGCAATCTTGAAGATACTTGTTTTTTTAAGAGTGCATCTTACACTGTAGCCCAGATCATCTTGTAATTCACTATATATCCCTGAATGGCTTTAAGTTCTCGGCAATCCTGCATTGACATGTTAGAATTACAGGTATGTGCCACTACACCTGGCAATTTTTAGTTGGTTTTTTTTTCATGAACCACCACACTGTTCTGCACAGCAGCCACACTATTCCCAGCTTCTGACAGCAATGCCTGAGCATCCAGATTTCCCCACATCCTTACCAACACTTGTGGTTGGCAACAGTCACCCCGATGGGAATGAAGCAGGGTCTCCAAGAGTTAGTATCTGCACTTTCCTTTTTCTTCACACAAACTATACTTAACATCTGTGGGTGTTTCCCTGCATATATGTCTGTGGACAAGTGCATGTCTGGTGCCTACAGGAACAAGTGTCTACGGGGCACACGGCCACACGCCGCACCTCTCTCACACCTCTGCACAGAACTTGGGGCCATCACTGAGGGAGCCCGAGGCCAGTGAAGATTGAACGGAAAGAGTGTCTGGACATGACAGGAGCCTACAGCAGCTGCCACCAATGCATAAGTCAGGCATGCCCGCGCACCTCTGTCATCCCAGCACTCAGGAGGGGTTGGTGGGAGAATCAGAAGTTCAAGGTCATCCTCAGCTACACAGAGTTTGAGCCTGGGGCAGATGAAATAAAAAGATAACAATGACAACAAACAACTTTGGGATGCTCTCTTCTCTTCTAACCTCTTCAGAATCAGTCAGCTGTAGTGTGGTGTGGGGAACCCACAAAGAACTCCCCCATGGGGCCCTGCAAAGCTAACTCAGACAGCTTCAAGGCTTTGTCAGATCTACTCAAAAGTGTTTCGTATAACAATACACCCACGATTTTAACTGCACGCATCCCCAAGTTTTCCTGGATTCATTAATTGGCAGGCTGGCAGCAGAACTGTGAGGGCTGTTCTCTATCCAACACAAACTGTCTGAGTGCCCAGTGTTTATCCAACCGGGGAATGTCTACGCAGCAATGGAAAAGCAAAGAACGGAAAAGATGCTGGGTTGAATTCTCTCACTGAACAACAGGTGTCTCCTACTCACTGTCCTCCCACTTCCAGTGGGTATATGGGGTGGGAGTTCTTTCTCTAACAGGTCTGAATTGAGCAGCTTCTCTTTGCCTGTTAGACAAGGCCATAGATGCTCTAGGTTAGTCCACTCAACTGTCAGGCTCGGGAACTCACATGAAAGCGGAAGTCAATTGATTAAACTAGAATGTAATTCAACTTCTTCAAAAAGTTCTGTTGTAAACCACAAGACAGCTCAACTGAATGGTGTATTTTAGGGCTGAAGCTGGTGTAAACCCTGTAACCAAAGAGCAAGCTAAAGACAGGCTTGCCCAGAAATTATCTTCCTGACACCATTCTAAAGTGACTGCTGAGAACAGACTGAATGGGGATTTCAGGTGGGTTTTCTGAGGAATTTTAGCCATTGGATATTTGAGTCCCTTGTTAAGCAAGGTGCCTGAACCTGAGAACAGCCGCACCCTCTTCTTAGTCTGGCCACCCCACCGCAGACTGAGCCCGGAGCCTCTGTCTCCTCCCGTCTGTGCTCCACGCTTCTTCGGCGGCAGTGGGAGATGGCAAAGCTAAGGTGCATGGCAAACTAGGAAACACGGCCTCCCCCTCCCAACAAGTCTGCAGAACAGCCATGGGCAGTGACCACAAGGACCCAATCTAAGTGAAGTCTGGGACTCAGATAAGAGCCATGAGGAAGACAGTCTCCTTATGAACGGAGAGGAGGTGAGGCTGAGGTGATCGGCACTGACACTGGACAGATACCCTGTGGAAGTGCAAGACAGCAGTGGATTTTCTGGGTATGTCACTCCCTCTGGATCCTGCCAGGCCTGAAGCGAGTCTCTATCCTAAAACTTACTTACACGAACCAGTACCCTTCCTGACTGCCTAGACGAGAGTGGGCTTTGGAACAAAGTAAAAAGACTATGTAGTCAGACTCCATGGCACACACGCGTACTCACACAGATTCTAATTGCCAGGTTCTGTGGTACATGGGCTGCACAGAAAGACAAAGTCCAGGCTGGAGAGAGGACTCGGCAGTTAAGAGACCTGATTCTTCCAGAGAACACAGGTTCAATTCCCAGCACCCACATGGCAGCTCACAATGACTGCAATTTCAGTTCCAGAGGATCTGACACCCACACACAGACACACATGCAGGTAAAACACCAATGCACATTTAAAAAAAGTAAATTATTTAAAAAATTTAAAAAGCCTTTTTTAAAAAAAAGTCCATATTCATTAGTTCTTAAGGAGACCAATCTGAAAAGGACAACATACGACACATCAGAGGAGCTGCCACTTTGTGGGGACTGGAGGCAGGACTCTACACCTACGCCTCTTCCTCCATTAGGTCGCTGGTCTTTGCCTCATCCATCACTTGCCCAGTGACTATGACTCACATAAAGATATAAAGGAGAGCTGGAGGGATGGTTCAGTGGATAAAGTGCTCGATGCACAAGCATGAGGACCTGAGTTCAGATTTCCAGAAACTACCTAAAAGCCAGGCGTAAATGGGGCACATCTGTACCCTAAAAGCCAGGCGTAAATGGGGCACATCTGTACCCTAAAAGTCAGGTGTGAAGAGGCACATCTGTACCCTAAAAGCCAGGTGTAAAAGGGGCACATCTGTAACCTAAAAGTCAGGTGTAAATGGGGCACATCTGTACCCTAAAAGTCAGGCGTGAAGGGGCACATCTGTAACCTAAAAGCCAGGTGTAAATGGGGCACATCTGTAACCTAAAAGTCAGGTGTGAAGGGGCACATCTGTAACCTAAAAACCAGGTGTGAAGGGGCACATCTGTAACCTAAAAGTCAGGTGTAAAAGGGGCACATCTGTAACCTAAAAGCCAGGTGTGAAGGGGCACATCTGTAACCTAAAAGCCAGGTGTGAAGGGGCACATCTATAACGAAAAAGTCAGGTGTGAAGGGGCACATCTGTAACCTAAAAGCCAGGTGTGAAGGGGCACATCTGTAACCTAAAAGCCAGGTGTGAAGGGGCACATCTGTAACCTAAAAGCCAGGTGTGAAGGGGCACAGACCTAAAAGCCAGGCATGAAGGGGCACATCTGTAACCTAAAAGCCAGGCGTGAAGGGGCACATCTGTAACCTAAAAGTCAGGTGTGAAGGGGCACATCTGTACCCTAAAAGTCAGGTGTGAAGGGGCACATCTGTACCCTAAAAGTCAGGTGTGAAGGGGCACATCTGTAACCTAAAAACCAGGTATGATGGTGCACATATGCAATTGCAGTGGTAGAAAGGGTGGAGGTAGGCAGATCCCAGGGTCTCACTACCCAGCTAGTGTAGCTGAAAGTTGATGATACCATGTCTCAAACGTAGTGTGTGTGTGTGTGTGTGTGTTAGAAGATTCCTATTGTTGACCTCTAAAATCCACATATGCACACACATATAGTGATATTTTATTTATGTTTTAATAAAGGTTGCCTGAAGATCAGAAAAGCAAAACAGCCAAGCCACTAGAGAAATCTTACCTCTACCAAGGCTGGGCGACTGCAGACTGAACCCTGAGCCTCCATCTCCTCAACAGTATAAATCATGAAAGAAATGATTTAACTTCCAAATTACTTTCTCAACTGCTATTTTATAACTCTGAAGCTATCCGAACAATATTGTTACCCAGCTAGACAAACTTTGTTGGTTTTACATCTGAGAACTCAAGAACTAACATAACAGCAAACACTATAAAAAGACAAAATTATTTTGCAAATTCTGTACTTTTCCAAAAGGCAGATACAGTTATTTTCTGATAAATAAAAATAGAAGTTGATAAGGTGAAAGGAGGCTTTAATACCATCTTGATTTCTAAGTCCATGTGGTTTTAATGGACTGCAGTGTAGAGTTCCAGATGATGCATTTGGAAACCACACAGTTGAGGAGCTCAGTCCTGAAGCAGGGGGATGAGGAACAGGAAACAAAATGGACAGTTCATGTGACTAGTCCCCCCGGATACTGCTCCACTCTTTCCCACACCTGTCTTCACAGCTGCATCCAGCATCCCCTGGACCATTTTATCAATGCAACTGGTGCTGTTGGACTTTCTGTGAGTTACCAGCTCCCAAATTGTGATGCGGGGACTTCTTATCAGTTATGAGAGCTTGTCCTTGCCTTAGGCTACTTCCCATCTACCTCTTAAAACATAATTAACCCGTTTATATTAACTATGTTCTGCCACGCGGCTCATTGCCTCCCTTCCATACTGTACATCCCATTTCCTCTGGGTCTGACTCATGAATTCCACCTCTCTTCTTCCCAGAGTTCCTATCTCTGCCCAGAATCCCACTGCCTATCCTTTCCGGCTTAGTCATTCAGCTCTTTATTAAATCAATCAGAAAGTGCCTTGGCAGAGACACATCTTCACAGTATACAAAAAGGCAGCCCAGTTCCGACTCCTCAGCAGCAGGCACAGGGTCTTGCTCAAGTGAGGCTGGACCGCGGCAGACTTCACAGCTGTTGCTACTGTGTCTCTCTTTGCCCACCTCCGCCTTGTGAGAAAGCTGGCCCTGTCGTAGCCTCTAATTAAAAAGATGCTTCATGTTATCTCAGGCCCAGGTTTCTCTGTCAGAGTTTGGATATCAAGGGTCCCCTCAGAAGGGCTCACACACTGCAGGCTTGGTCCCCAGGTACTGGTACTTGTTTGGGAAAGTCTGGAAACTATAGGCAGCAAGACCTCCAGTAAGTTACTGGGGACAGGCCTTTGAAAGTTACTTCTGGTCCTCCATCTTCTATCTCACTGTCCCCATCTGTCATGGGGTGAATAGCTCAACCACATCCTCCATTGCTTGATGCTCAACCTCACCACAGGCCCAACACCTAAGAGGCAAGGACTCAGTCTGGGACCCTCTGAAACAGTGAGCCAAAATATATTTCCTTAAGTTGTTCCCTTGGTGTTTTGATTACAGCTACAGTAAGCTGACCAACAGCTCTGTTCTCTGATCTAATTTTACATTCCAGCTGATGTTGCCCCCCACAGATGCCAGGTGCAATAAATTAAAACACAAAAGGCAACAAGGAAAGAGGGGTTGTGTACCCCCCCCCATACACACACACACATACAACATTCTAATACTTACCAGTCTGGACAAAGCTCTGGACCCTGCATAGATTATACCCACTGACAGCACTGAAGCAGGAAGCCATGCCAAAACATTAGATCTGAAAAGAGGGGGAGAAATTATAATGCTTTTACTACTTCATGTTTGAAAAGACCTAGCTGGATGGGTTGACCTTCAGAGGCACCAATGTCTTCCAACAAGGTTGTCTAAATATCCTTGGGGGACCCAATAAGTGAGATGTGTTCTTTACTCGCTGAGAGAGCAGACACACACACACACACGCAGACACACACACACACACACACACACACACACACACACACCACACACGAAGGCATCTAATATATAATTGTCATGTAACATCTACTTAGCATTCAGGAAACCTCCAAACTGAGCATGGACAGGCCTTGCCACAGGCTCAGGAGAGGACACAACTGACTTTCTCCAACGGTGAAAATTTTCAAGCACATCAGTAATTTTTTTTTAATGTGTGAATGTTCTGCATGTACACCTGAAAGTCAGAAGAGGGCGCAAGATCCTACTACAGATGGCTGTGAGCCACTATGTGGGTGCTGGGAATTGAACTTAGGACCTCTAGAAGAGCTCTTAACCCCTGAACCATCTCTTCAGCCCCCCAATAAAACTTTTTAAAAGACTGTTTACCTAAGATATTTCAAACAGCTCCACAGAATCACAACTTTAAACCAAAAATTAGAAAAAAAATGGTTTTTAAATAATAAACCTCAGGAGTTCAGGTGGTCATATTCTGGCAAGGTACATGGTCTGCAAATGTAAGGATCTGTGTAAGATCCCCAGGACCCTTGTAAAATCTGGGTGTGCTGGTGCACCCTGTAATCCAGTGCTGGCGTGACAAGAGGACCTTTGGAGCTTGCTAGTCAGAATGCTGAATCTGAGGGTTCCACATTTAATGGGAGACCTGTCTCAAAAAAAATAAAAGGTGGCCTTTAATCCCAGCACTTGGGAAGCAGTGGCAGGCGGCTCTCTGTGAGTTTGAGGCAAGTCTGGTCTGCAGAGCTAGTGCCAGGACAGCCAGGGCTACACAGAGAAACCCTGTCTCGAAAAACCAAAAAGATAAGAAAAAAGGTAGACAGTGATTGATGAAGACACCCACAGTCAACTCTGGCCTGAGCACACACGTGCACAAGAATGTGCACAGGTATACATGTGTATGGTTAAGACTACCAACCAAACACTTTTAATTTCTTACAGAGGGAAAGCATCCCCATATGTTCATTTTGCACTGGACTTTGAGTCCATCAACCACATGCCGTATCCATAAGGAAGTCCTACCCTCTCACAGAGAGGTATAGGAAGTGCGGCTTAGAACAGGCATTGGATAAACCAGAACTGCCAATCACGTAGACCTTTAACGGAAGGATGCCTGGTCACCTGGGATGCCAGAGGAAAAAGTGGTCAATCAACCCAGTGATTTTCCTGCTATTCTATGAGCCAGCCTTTCTGAATCCCCCAAAATCCTGAGCACTGTTCAGGCCCTAATCCTAGCTTAGTCTCCCAGTGAATAGAACACATCCCTATGAAAGAGGCACCAGGTTCTCTGCATCCTCCACCAATAGAATCTACCTTTTCACTTATCACTTATCCTTCCTCTGGCCCTAGCCCTGTTCTCTGTTTATAAGCCAATAGAATCCATTCTTATTGCAAAGGCCATCAGCCACAACTTCTACTATGTTTAAATATGTAAGGAAAATAGACAACAGGCTCAAATCCCAGAGTGTAGTTGGTTGTATTACTTTGTACTCCTGCTCTTTAGTTCTTTGGGGGGCCTGCTGCCCAGTGTCCAATAAATACACAGGGAGGCTTATTCTTTCTTATAAATGCCCAAACTTAGCTTGGCTTGTTTCTATCCAGCTTTTCCTAAATTATCTCATCCACCTTTTGCCTCTGGGCTTTTACCTGTCTCTGTTTCTGTATACCTATCTTTACTTCTTACTCCATGTCTTCTTACTTACTTCTTACTGTGTGGTGGGTGACTGCCCTTTCTTTTCTCACTTCTTGATCCCTCTCCTTGTTCTCTTGTTCCTTCTCTTTTTCTCCTTCTATTTATTCTCTCTGCCTTCCAGCCCCACCTATCCTTTCTCCTTCCTTGCTATTGGCCATTCAGCTCTTTGTTATACCAATCGGGTGCTTCAGACAGGCCAAGTAACACAGCTTCACAGAATTAAACAAATGCAACATAAAAGAATGCAACGGGCTGGAGAGATGGTTCAGAGTTTAAGAGCACTGCTTGCTCTTCCAAAGGTCCTGAGTTCAATTACCAGCAACCACATGGTGGCTCACAACCATCTGTAATGAGGTCTGGTTCCCTCTTCTGGCCCACAGGCAGGCAAACCACTGTATACTTAATAAATAAATGAATCTTTTAGAAAAAAAAGAATGCAACACATCTTTGTATCATTAAACAAATGTTTTACAGCATAAACAAATGTAACACATCTTAATATTCTATAACAACTGGAGACCTTGACTGAGTACTGGCAAAGAAGGCACTGTCAGCAAGGCCGTGGTGGTGCACACCTTTAATCCCAGCACTTGGGAGGAAGAGGTTGGTAGATCTCTGTGAGTCTGAGGCCAGCCTGTTCTACAGAGCTAGTTTCAGGACAACGAGGGCTACACAAAGAAACCCTATCTTGAAAAAACAAAAGGGGGGGGGATAGAGCTGCCCCGAGTTTTCATTCTTATCTTTTCCCAGTTCACTTTCCTGCCAGTGGAAATAGCTGCAGGAACTCCCAACAGAAAGACATTGTGCTGGGAAGTGAGCTGACATCAATAGCACTGAGGTTGTGGTGTTGACACCATGCCTGCTGCTCCACCTTCTTCTCTGCCTCCGGCCTGAGACCAGGCAGCCTGGCTACTGACTCTCACTACCAACTTCCCTTCATCTTCTAAGGTCTAAGGGACTCCCTCCTCTGCCATTTTTGCCAGATCACGGGTAGGAGCTTATGGAGTTGAGGGAGAAGAAGAGGGAGAGGGTGAGATAGTCCCATATAACAGGAGAGTCCCAGAAATAGGGCTCCTTTCAAGCTGCTAGTCTGGGGGGGGGGGGGGTTTAAAAGAATTTATAGCAGAAACTAGAGTGGGTGTGGGAGGAGGGTGAGCTGTTAGTCCAGGGCCCAATGAGGTGGGTACCCAGGAGCCTGCTCTCACTTCCAGTCACACAATCACCAAGGCCACAATCAGGCGTGCTTATTTAGGAGTGTGCAGGCTAATTTTCTGTCATCTTGACACAGGTTAGAGTCAGCTGAGAGGAGGGAACCCCAATTGAGAAAATGCCTCTATAAGATCCAGCTGTAGGGAAGCCTGCAGGATATTTTCTCAATTAGTGATTGATGGGGAGGGCCCCGCCCATTGTGGGTGGAGCCATCGCTGGCCTGGTGGTCCTGGGTTCTATAAGACAGAGGACTAAGCAGCTCCCCTCCATGGCCTCTGCACCAGCCACTGCCGCCAGGATCCTGCCCTGCTTGAGTTCCTGTGCTGCCTTCCTTCAGTGACGGACCATGATATGAAACCATAAGCCAAATAAACCCTTTCCTCCCAAACTTGCTTTTGGTCATGGTGTTTCAATGAAGCAATAGTAATCCCAACTAAGACCAGGAGATAGCAAAGAAACAGAAAGCAGAACCCTCTCTTGACGTTCTGAGAACTGCTGATTTGGGGTCCCTGCCCCCCTTGACCAGTTCCTATCCCCTGTTCCTATCAAAAGCTGTCCTCTCACACAGATGCACACTAACTAACCCCTGGCCAGGTTCCTACTGAACAGTCAGTAAATACAAGGCGAGAATCTCAAGTCAAGCCTACCCAGCCTAGGCCTTCAATCATGTCTCTGCACTATGCCCACACACCCATTGTCCACTACTGGGAGACAAGGCTATCGACGGGTACGCTGCAAGTAAAAGAGCTAACAGAGATGTTCTCCATTATCACAGTCCTGCCTGCAAAAATAGATGTCTACAGCCCCAACAAAAAGATGAACAGAGAGAGGAGCATGCCATCCCCACCCTCAGGGGCCAAGAGATACTGCAGATGGTGGCCATTCCCCTAGGAAAAGGCTTTCCCAATTCTCAATTGTCACACTAGGCTTACAAGGATCAGAAGCAACAACACAAACCCACAGCAGGCCATGCGCCAGAAGTGCAGGACTGAACCCGCAAGCAGAGCACTGATGAGAAGGATGAGGGTGTTTAAGTCGCGCAGGCAGCTGGCTTGGCTGCAGCAGCCCAGGGCTTTGGAATGTAAGGTCAGTAAAGTCCCAGACCTCTGTACTCAAGTCCCTCTTAAAATAAACAAAGGAAACTCCTGCTGAGTTACAGACTCCAAGAAATGAATCTGCACTGATCACTGTGGATGTCGGGGGAAGAAAACAACCCTAAGGAATGTCTTATGTGCCGATCCCTACTCCGAAATACAAAAACACAACTTCAACCGGATACAGAAGAGACTCCTGGGAGACGGAGCAGGGAGGCTCAGGGAGATGCTCCAAACATCCAGCCCAGGCACTGACCCGCCATCTCACTTGGGGCTAACAGGAAAGAGCAAGTTGTGCTCATGAGACAGTGGCTGCCCCTCAGCCAAAAGGGGTGCAGGCATTTTCCTGAGAACTTCAGACACCTTCAGAGGTGTAACTGGCCTGGCAGGGATGAAGACATTCAAGGGACACCTGTGTCCCTGACTTTATCAGACTGTTCAAACGACAAATTCCTTCAGGAAATTGGAATTAGCTAGAACTCTCAAGCTGGAGAAACAGAATGCCTAGGCCAGCCAGAGGAGAAACTTTTTCTACCAGAGAAAAATGTACAACCTGCCAGACGAACAACAGAAGATAGAACAACCGATCAAAGAAATGTACAACCTGCCAGACGACCTACAGAAGATAGAACGAGAAGTCAAAAGTGGGCACGGCCACCCATTGCCAGGACTGCTATCTTAGCTATTTTAATTGGTTTACTGAGGGCAGATGCTGAACATGTGTTACTGGAGCACAGGCTGTGGCTCTAATCCGTAACAGCTGGCTCTGGGGATTCTTGGCTGCTCTGAGCAGTGAGAAAATGCCATCCTCCACCATGCTGTAGGCCTAGTGTGGTATGCACCTATTGTCGGTAAACCAAGACCCAACCACACTCCAGAGACAGATGCTCCCTGAGCCTGCAGCAGCTCAGCACCAGAAGCCGTGCTGTCACCACCCAGCAAATGTGACACACTGCTACCAGAGTCCGGTATCCTTTATAAAGCCTGCACCTGCACAGCTTCTCTTCCTTTTCCACCCTCTCTCAGGCGGCCTTTCATGTTTCCCCACATACCCTGCCCCAGTAAATCTCTTTTATGAGGTCTATTATGCGGCGTGATATTTGCGACATTCCTTGGCCCTCCAAGCACCCAGGAGGCAGAGGCAGTGGATCCCTGTGAGTTCAAAGCCAGCCTGGTCTACACAGCAAATTCCAAGCTACCCAGGGCTACACAGCATGTTCCAGGCCGACCCTGTCTCAAAACCAAAAAAAAAAACAACAACAACAACAACACTGCAATTATAATCCAGGCCATGCCCAAAAGGGAAGACCTGGGAAGTACACTCCCAACGTCCAAATGTCACATATACTAACATTTTGACAATAATGGGATCCTGTTGCACATACCATCTCATAATCTACTTAATTTCACAATTTCCCATGGCAAAAAGCCAAACCCAATTTACTGATAATTGAATTAATGACCATTAACGTGCACTAATAATAACTGAATAATACCAATGGCTAGTGAGTGGCGCATGCCTTTAATCCCAGCACTGGAGAGGCAGAGGCAGGAGGATCTCTGGGAGTGTGAGGTCACTCCGGTCTATGGAGGGCCTATGGTTGGATATTTAAGGTTTTTTTACTCTCCCAATGCTGTGTGAGTATTCTTGAATATATTATTTCCTCACGTGTGTGATTTTTTAATAGTGTTCAGGATAAACTCCCAGAAGCGCTATTGAAAGATGCAGGCCCTGAAGTTTAACTTGTAGAGGGCTACTCTGAACATCAGGAACAGAGGCGCTGCCTGCCCCCACTTTTAATCCATCATCTGGAGGCTTTGGCTTGTATGTCTGTTAATTCTCTCATTTCCTTACCCACATAGGAAACAAAGCAGATTTATAGTCTGTGGTGACCCTGGCAGGGTCTCAGGTCCCTTTGGCATCTGGGCCTCTCAGGAATTGCTGAGCCCATGAGTATGTTCATGCGCACATTTACATGCGTGTGTATGTGTGTGCATGAGGGTAGCTATGGGAAGCAGCTCCTGGCTCTGCCACGCCCCATCACTGACATGTGAATCCTAGGTCTGTTTTCCATCTGCATGCCACCTGCCACCACCAAGAACTGTGTGAAGTCATGGAATGTGTTGGCATACATCATAAAACTGTTGTCACTGAGATGAAGCTAATTAAATTAAATCACTGTTTTTCAAATAGAGCATGCCTTATTGAGAGAACATCTGCTCCCTGCAAACACTGCAATGTTTTGTTATGGGTGCCTGGAGGGCTCCTCAAATGGAATTCTCAAAAATCCTGTATTCTGCTGACATCTAGTGGACCTAAAAATAGCCTCCAGGCATGAAAATAAGAAGAAGGTTCATAAGTGGACCACTGGCATGGCCTAGAATAGTAACCGCCTGCCACTGTAAAGTCAATACTTGTCTTACAAGCAAAAGGATCGCACATATTTTTTTCTATTCTGTGTGTATGTATGTGTACATGTTTGCATGTGTGTACATGTGTGCATGTGAAGGCCAAAGGTCAGCCTCTGACGTCTTCCTCAGCCGTTCTGCACCTTGCTGTCTCCTGAGGCAGGGCCTCTCACTGAAGCTGGATGTCACAGACTCTGCAAGGCTGGCTGACCAATGAGTCCCACCCTGCCCCTGCCAGTGTTGGGGTTACAGTGAGTCCCACCATGCCCCTGCCAGTGTTGGGGTTACAGTGAGTCCCATCCTGCCCTTTCCAGTGTTGGGGTTACAGTGAGTCCCACCCTGCCCCTGCCAGTGTTGGGGTTACAGTGAGTTCCACCCACTCCTGCCAGTGTTGGGGTTACAGTGAGTTCCACCCTGTGTCTGCCAGTGTTGGGGTTACAGGCATGCACTTCATTATTTTTTAGTTCACTACTTAGGGCAAAAATAAGATTTAATAAGCCACTCTTCTAGACTAGATCAGTATCTTATGCACAACACAAATTATAAAATAATAAAGTGAGAGATAATGGATAAAAAGAGGCCATTTATCTAAGAGAGCAAAGAGAGGTACATGGGAGAGTTTGGAGGGAAGAAAGCAAGGAGGGAAATGATGTAATTAAATTATAATCTCAAAAAAATTAAAAAATTTTTAAATAAAAATAATTTAAAAAATTGAAAGGCCATGAGTTGTTTTCCATGCACTCTGTTTCCTGCTTGTAAACCGAGATGTGAGCTCTAAGCTCTTCCTCCACCAAGCCTCTGCACAGACATCATGGATTCTAACCTTCCAGAATGGTAAACCCCAAATAAACCCTTCCTGCTGTAGCTGCTTTGGTCCTGGTGTTACCACAGCAACAGAAAGTGATGAACACATTGGTATTGTTCTTAACTGTTTTGTAAGTAGAAAATAATAATAAAAACTCCCACTAGGCAGTGAGTGGCACAAGTCTTTAATCCCAGCACTCAGGAGGCAGAAACAGGTGGATCTCAGTGAGTTCAAGGCCAGCCTAGTCTATAGGGTGAGTTCCAGGACAGGCTCCAAAGCTACAGAGAAACCTTGCCTCAAAAAAACCAACCAAACAAACAAAAAATTTCCCAAAAGATATTTAAAGCTCTTCAGTAAGCTCTCTGTAGTGATCTTTAGCCCTAAGACAAAGGCGAATTAATATGGTATTGTGGCTGCATCTGATAATTTAATCTCATATTACTGACACTGTTCAAGATTTATCTTACTATAAAATCACTGAATCTCAAGGTTGGAAAGGAACTAAGAGACCAAACAACTCAAGCATGCATTCAAGTCTCCTGGTGGTAAAATAGATATGTAAAGCAAGTGTACATGAGTCATGAGCCAGTCACAAAGAGGCTATGATACCTTAAACTGCTGTTGAGCTCCACACAACCCAGTTTCCACGACATATGAAGCAAAAGTCCACCGATGAGTGTCTGCCACCTGGAACGGATGAATGTCCAGACGAGTTACTCTAGGCCTACAGAGCACAGTGCCATCCGGCCAGGACAGACCTGCTGATGGCCGCTAATACGTATCTGCAACCCTTCTACACCTCGCTTTCCCCGTTTTCCCAGCTCTTCTCTAATTCTGTAGACAATGTCCCATCTCTACTCCTTTGAATCCAGCTCTCCAATACGTGCTGATATTCTTATTTGCCTCTTCTCCTTCTAGACATTTCCTGAACCTCATTCATAGCCATAGATATGGATGACTTCCAGATCCCTGTTCTCGTCTAGATACTTGCACCCTGAAATTCCATAGCCTCACAATCATGTCACGTGCAAAATGCTGCCTTAGACATTTCCTGAGCCTGGTCATCATGCTACTGCCCTCAGTCAGCCAGCTGGGGTAGCACCTCAACCTTCTCCCTAGCCCTTCCTCTGGCTTCACTGCCCTCATCTACTTGGCAAAATCGTCATAATTTTATTTTTCCCCATAACAGTGTTCACATCCTAAGCCACCTCCCTAGTTTTTGTTGTAATTTAGTTTTTCCTATGGTGCATCTGGTCCTTGGTGGTATGGGACAATTCTGTATTCTGTCAATTACATTTTAAATAAACGCTGATTGGTCAGTAGCCAGGCAGGAAGTATAGGTGGGACAACCAGACAGGAAGTAGAGGCGGAAAAAGGAGAACAGTAGTATTCTGGGAAGAAGGAAGCTCTTTCTGCAGTCCTGCCCAGACCACGGAAGAAGCAGGATGTGACCTGCCCTGCTGTAAAAGGTACTGAGCCATGTGGCTAACTTAGATAAGAACAGTGGGTTAATATACATTACAAGAGTTAATAAGAAGCCTGAGCTAATGGGCCAATTAGTTTATAATTAATATAGACCTCTGTGTAATTTTCTCTGGGGGCTTACCGGCTATGGGAACTGGGTAGGACATAAACCCCAACAAGCCGGTCCTCATGTGACACCTTAGCGTCCTATAAAGACCCCCCAGGGTTGTCCCCACATCCATTCTCTACCTTGTAGCAGTTTTTTCTAAGCAGCTAATTAAACCATGTCACTGACTTGATTTAAAAATGGTTGATCCTTCCTCAGCCCTTAGCCTCTTCACAGCCCCATACACCTGGGGTCATGAAGTTCACTAGAGGAACAGTGCTCTTAGCAATATAGTCAGGGGCAGCATGTGTTAGAACATTGCCCTCTCCCAGTGTGCAAAGCACATCAAAATGCCAAATGAACCGGGCATGGTGGAACATAACTGTAACCCCAGCACTTGGGAGGCTGTGAGGGAGAGATGGTTCTGTGGTTAAGAGTGTTCTCTTCTCTCCCAGAGGGCCCACTTCAGATCCCAGCACCAAGCTGGGGCTCATAGCTGCCAGTTCCAGGAGACCCAATGGCCTCCTCAGTCACTACACACACACACACACACACACACACACACACACACACACTTATAAAACTAAACCTTTAAAAAGGGAGGGGGTTGTGAGTTCACCGGCATCTCCTGGAGATGATAGGCAATAATTACAAGTATTCTCTTCAGTGGTGTTTCTTATCCTTATTCTAGGGCTCTAAGTAGTATTCAACTTCTAGAGCTACCCAAATGCAGCAAGTCCCCATGTCCCCTTTAAATATTGCACCCATAAAGGAGCCCCTGTTTGCGAAGCCACCCATGCATCTCGAAGACTCATGGTGGGTCCAGGACTCCCTCAGCCTCGTGCAGCTCACGTCCTCCTGACAGGTCTTAGTACTGCCCTTCTACTTTCCACTGATTGTAATCTGAACATTCTAATTTACCATGATCATGGCCATGTCACATCCATGTCCAGGGGTCATATATGACGGCACTCTGACCTCTTAGGTCACACTCAGTGTTCAGCTTAGTCACCTCTATACTCTAGATGACTCATATATTTTATGACTGTATTTTAGTCCCAAATGACCTGAGACACCTCACCTCCGAAATGACTGTATCTTACCTATGTGTTATGATACTAACTGAGAACCCTTGGTCTCCAGGACAGAGTCTCTTATACGTGACTCCCAGCCCTCGTGATTTGGGCCAGTCCCCTCCCCACAGGAGATGCTCTCACTCTGCCTTGGGGATTCCTAAGGCACACAGCCTGCAACCTTGAAATATGCCAGGCTATTTCCTTCTTTATAGAATTTGTGGGTACTATCCCATTACCCATAGTAGCCCCCTTTTCCTCATGCGTTAGGAGGCAACTGGTCAGTAGTAAGAACTATTGCTTCGCTGCCAGCCAAGAATGGAGCAACTAGCTCATGCCATGAACCAGCCTGCTCTAAGAGTGGAGGTCTGAACCTGGTCGATTCACCCCAGAGACATGTAGTAGTGTTTGGAGACTTTTTTAAGACAAGGTTTCTCTGTGTAGCCCCGGTTGTTCTTGAACTCATTCTGTAGACCCAGCTGGCCTCTAACTCACAGAGCTCTGCCTGCTGAGTTCTGGGATTAAATGCACTCACTCATCACTACCCCTCGGCTTATATTTACATTTATGTTTATATTTAATATTTATTATTTTATATGCTTGTGTAGTATGTCTGCAGTCCCTTTGGAGGTAAGGCATGGATGTAGGATCCTCTGGAACTGGAGTTACAGATAGTTATGAGCTACCATGTAGGTGCCAGGAACTGAACCCTGGTTTTTCACAAGAGCAATGAGTGCAGTGGTGACACACGCCTTTAATCCCAGCACTCAGAAGGCAGAGGCAGGGGGATCTCTGAGTTTGAGGTCTGCCTGATCCATACAGTGAGTTCTAGGTCAGGGCTACACAGATAAATCCTGTCTCGAACAACAACAACAACAATGTGGTAAGATGGCCGAGCAGGTGACAGTACTCCCCACATGGTGGAAGGAGAGAGCTGACTCCTGGAAGTTGTCCTCTGACCTCCACCCCTCAACTCTGGCACATGTACACACAAAAATAAATAGGTACAAATAAAAGTAAAATATAAAAAGAGCAATGAGCAAGCACTCTCAACCACAAAGTCATTTCTCCATCTCCCAAACATATTTTAAAAAGAAGCACAAAGGATGAGGTCTATGCACATTTAAATGGCATAATGCTTTAAAAAAATCAGCCCTAGGGTTTCCCGTAAAGAATTCACAAAAGCTACCCAAAAGGGCCCATAGAAGACGAACTATATATTGTTTTAAGGATCCAAAGGCAAAAGGGAGGATTAAGCGATAAATGGGCATATTAAAAGCTGGTTAACTATTGAGGGAGGTACGATTTTCTCAGAGTGACCATATGCTTAAGTAAACTGACAATAGCTAGAAGCTTTATCAAACTTCTAGGAATAGCTAGCTACATGGTATCTCCATGAATTAAAATAATCATAAATGGAAATGTGATATAAGTGATCACAAAAGAAACATGTTTATCAATAAAATAAAGGATTTAAGTAGTAAAATTATAAATAAAAGGTAAAAAACAAATTGCAAAAAAAATTTACAATGAATATCATGATCAAGAGGTTGTACACTTTTATTTAATTTTTTATTTTATTTTTTGTGTGTGTGCGTGTGTGTGTGCGCACCCAAGGGGACCAGAAGAGGACATCAGATTCCCTGGACCTGAAGTTACAAGCAGTCTCAAGTTGGCCTGATATGGATGCTGGGAGCTGAATTCTGCTCCTTTCAAGCACTTTTGAAGTCAGCGTCTCCAGCCCTGGTGGTTATACCCTTAAAATGTAAAAAAAAAAAAACCCTAAAATCAGGCCTGGTGGCTCAGGCTGAGGCAAGATCACAAGTTCAAAGCCTGCCTGGGCTACAGAATGAGTTTATGAGTTTAAAGCCAGCCTGAGTAACTAAGCAAAGCTTTAAGGGCTGGTGGTATCGATAGGTAGTAAAGAGCATCTCCTAGGCCCAATCACCTGTACCAAACACAAAATGCACCAAATTAATAAGAAAAATGCTACAACCTCAGTGAAACTAAGTGGGCAAAAGGCACAAATAGAAATTCACTGAAAACAAACACTAAGCACAAGAAAACTATCTGACTTCATGAATAAGTTAATTTGTGAACAAAAGTATGTTATTTGTGCATGCAATCTGGAGAAAGGAAAAAATAAGAGTCATACCGGTTGGATATGGTATTACAGAAACGTACATAAGCATGCAAGGTTAGAAGGTAAACTGGGGCTGGAGAGATGACTCAGTGGTTAGGAACACTGGCTCAGTTCCCAGAACCCACAACAGGCTATAATCCTAGCTCCAGGAGTTCTGATGCCCTCTTCTGAACTCTGGGGACAGCAAGAACATGGTATACATACATACATATAGGCAAAACATTCATGCACATGAAACAAATCTTCAAAAAAAGAAATTTATAAAATATTTTTAAAAACGATTTGTTATCAGGCATGGTGGCCCATGCCTTTAATTCCAGCACTTAAGAGGTAGTGGCAGACAGGCAAACTCAGTAAGTTTGAGGCTAACATGTTCTACATAGCGAGTTCCAGGACAGCTAGCCAGAACTATGTAGAGAGACCCTGTCTCAAAAAAATAAATAAGAGAAAAGAATGGGGGAGGGAGGGAGGGAGAAGAAAGCTAAAGAAGTTTGTAGGACCCAGGCATGAGAAGCTTAACAGGAGCAGAGCACCCAGAGGAAGTTCTTAACTCCCAACCATCATCACCTGTCGGTGTAGGACCCAGCCGTGATGAGCTTAAAGGAGGCCTGGATCTCAGTAGTTTACCCTGAGGCAATACCTGGTTGTAGGAAGGACCACAAACTGAGATTACCCAGACACCAGGCCATCCAAAGGAAATTCCTAATGTTCAAAGGAAATTCCTAATGTTCCAACCATTGTAGATAGGATCACCTGCCAGCACACATCCCTCAGGACACCCCTAGACAATCAGGTGTCCTGAACCTTGGAAATCCCTCACCCCCACCTTTACTACTATAAAAACCCAACTACAACTGAGCTCAGGGCTCTCCGATTGATTTATTCCAATATGTTGGACACAGGATACCCCGAGTTTGCAAACTTGTTTAGAATAAAGGCTCTTTGCTTTTACATATGAGACTCAGTCTCCTTGTTGGTTTTGGGGGAACTTTGCGAACCTGGGCATAACAGTTCTTATACCAAATTTCTTAAGTGGGAATATCCAGAAAGTCATTCCAAGTTTTACAGGATCACATACAAAAATGTCTGAGGCTTTCAGGCTTCCTGGGGAGGGACATGAGTCAGTGTCTGCTGAAGAGAAAAATCCAACAGGTCATTTTATCTGGTGTGAATCCTGGCCTAACGGCACTGCTTTCAGGCTTCCTGGGGAAGGACATGAGTCAGTGTCTGCTGAAGAGAAAAATCCAACAGGTCCAGTCTATCTGGTGTGGATCCTGGCCTAACGGCACCGAGACTTCAATGACCGCTATCTGAGTTGCTCTTCAGAAGGACTCGGGGGCCTTTGCACAGACACACCCAGCAAACCAGGAAGGTCCCAGATGGCTGACAAGCGCTCAGGTAATGGTTCCTTCAAAAACGTGGTTTTGATAGGCAGAACCTAGCTTGCTAAATTAGGTGTCTCTTGTGTAACAATAAAGAGGCTTTTACAAAGCCACAAGGCAGTTAGTCATCAGAAGCTATTTCCCTGCTTCTGCTGCTGTTGCTAGGCCATTAAGTAAGCTGGGGTGACCTTAGTAACACAGAACACCAAAAGCCTGCTAACAAAATGGGTAAACTATAGTGTCTCTAGCTGCTGCTGAACCTATGTGTTCAGTTGGAGCCTCCAGGCTGCCCCTGTAAGCTCAGGAAAGCCCGGGTCCTCCTGCTCAGAGAGGTCCACATTTGCTGCCCCTGTAAGCTCAGGAAAGCCCGGGTCCTTCTGCTCAGAGAGGTCCACATTTGCATCAGCTGCTCATGTTTTTGATTTTACCATACGTGGGCACAGACCCAGCTTGTGGAGAAACATCAACACCCCTCACCTACAATCTAGAAAACTTCCCTGGCCTGGTTCTCTGGGGTCAGTGAACTGCCCTGGAGTTGCTTTGCTCACTTCAGCTGCTGTTATACTTCTTCAATTTGGCTTGATCTGGCCTGGGGAGGGAGGAGGGAGAAAACCTAGTAAGTATACTTCCTAAAACTGTTTTAAAGAACTCTCTAAGACATTGTTGGACATTTCCTACAAATGCATATGCAGGTAGTTGAAGATATTTGCCCTGGGAGCTGGAGAGATGAGTGGTTAAGAACACTTGCTGCTCTTGCAGAGATCTAGAATTTGATTCCCAACACCCATGACAGATGGCTCACAACTACCCGGAACTCCAACTACAATGCCTTCTTCTGGCCTCCAAAGGTTCTTCATTCATGTGTCATATACACACAAATACACACAAACATACAGATTTTAAAAAACAAAATCTGGGGGGGGGGAAGATACTCACCCTTGGAATAATGTAGGATAGGTGAATTTCAGGACCGACAGGACATACTGAAAACAAACACAAGACTGATGAACATTTTGAATGACAGAGAATTAATAGTGCATATAATAATAATCCTATTGAAGAAATCTGAGTATTCTATATAAAGGCCTTCATTCCCCCCAAGTCTGAATGGGCAAAAGAATGGCCCTCTAAGTTATACTGAAGGGAACAGCTGGGGTAAGATTATATTTTTGTTTTGTTACTGTTTGCTTGTTTGTTCTTAAAACAGGATCTTATCTGTAACCCACCCTGGCCTAGAACGTGCCATGTAGCCCACGCTGACCTAGAACGTGCCATGTAGCCCACCCTGACCTAGAACGTGCCATGTAGCCCACCCTGACCTAGAACGTGCCGTGTAGCCCGCCCTGACCTAGAACGTGCCGTGTAGCCCGCCCTGACCTAGAACGTGCCGTGTAGCCCACCCTGACCTAGAACGTGCCATGTAACCCAGGATCCAAGTAATCCTTTGGCCCTGGCTTGCTAAGTACTGGAATTACAGGTATACCCTGATTCTTTTTTAATTCTTTGTTGTGTATAATTTATTGATATAATATACATATGTGTACATGTTCATATGTGTGATTGTGGCTTAGCACATGTGTGGAGGTCAGAGGACAACCTTAGATGTTATTCTGCCTTCCACCTTGCTTGAGATAGGTCTTTTGCTATTCACCATTGCATATGCCGGGCTAACTGACCCATGAGTTGCTTCCTATCTTGCTACAGGAGTGTAGACACACACTGTCACATCAGGCTTCCCTTGTGTCTGCCTCCTATCTTGTTTTAGGGGTACAGACACACGCTATTACATCAGGCTTCTAGTGGGCTCTAGGGATCTGAACTCAGGTCCTCACACTAGCGAGGCAAGCACTTTTACCTCAGCACCTCTTCAGCGTTTCTATAAGTCTTTTAATCAGATTTATAGACCTTTATAATGGAGGGATTGTATTTTGTCTTTGGAGATATCTTTTTCTAGTATAAACACTTTATTTATTTATGGTCTAAAGCCATTAAATACTTTAGGAAAGGACTCTGTTAATTCTCCACACTATCTTAAAAAAAAAATTAAAATGATGCAGCCAAGCCAGGTGCAGTGACACACCCCTTCAAGCCCAGTGCTGAGGAGGCAGATGCAGGAGGAGCTCTGTGAAGTCAAGGCCAGCCGGATCTACAAAGCTAGCTCCAGGCCAGCTGAAGATACAGTGAGACCCTGTCTCAAAAGAAAGGAGAGAAGAAAAGGAAAAGGAAAGTAGGGAAGGAGAGTGAAGAGGGGGAAAAGAGGGAGGGATTAAATAGTAAGAACCAATGGTATTGAGGATGTTCACAGAAGTATCTTCCCTGGCCTATCCAAAACTCTCCCTGAATAAGTTCCTACATGTTCCGATTACAGATCACTTCCTGTGCTGCGTTCACTTACATCATTCAGTGTGCCCCATCCTATTTTTCCCTGATGCTTCTATTCTGAACTACAGAAAGGATGAAGAGAGGCCTGGGCATGGCCTGAACACCTACAACAACCTTAATTACAATACCAGTATTTTCTCAATGTGTTGTATGCTTAGCTTTAGTTCACAAACTGAGGGAGATTTAAGATGCTGACACTCCGGTGGGGTGTAGGTCAGTGGCTGAGCTTTAATTCACAAACTGAGGGAGATCTAAGATGCTGACGCTCTGGTGGGGTGTAGGTCAGTGGCTGAGCATATATCTAACATGTGAAGCCCTGGGTTCTGTCCCTAGTATAACAAAATAAAACAAAGTACTGAAGCTCTCGTCTCTTTTTTTTTTTAAAGAGGCAAAAGCCTCTGAGTTTGAGGTCCAAGACAGCCAATCTCGAAAAACAAGAAAGGAAGGAAAGAGGAAGGAAGGAGGGAGGGAGGAGGGAGGGAGAGAGGGAGGGAGGGAGGGAGGGAGGAAGGAAGGAAGGAAGGAAAAGGAAAGAAAGAAGTCTATTGGTTGGTAAATGGCTCAGAGGTTAATAATGCTTACAGATCTTGAAAAAGACCCCTCTTAGATCCCAGCATCCATATTGGTTGGCTCACAACTACCTTTAACTCCATCTCTAAGAGCGCCAATGCCTCTGACCTCCTCAGGCATCTATCCTCACAGACACATACACACACACACACACACACACACACACACGCGCAATTAAAAATAAAAAAATAAATATTTTTAAAAAGAAGTCTCTGACAAATTGAACTTTAGCTCTAAAACGTCTCTGAGCTAGGTAATCCCCGCACTCAGGAGGCAGAAGGAAGATTCCAAGCCAGCCTTGATCACACAGCAAGGCCCTGTCTTATTGGGGAAGAGGGTAGGGCTGGTGAGATGGCACTAACCACCAAATCTAATGAATGACCTGAGTACACTCTGAACTGACTTCTGCAAGATGCCCTCTGACCTCTACCGGTGTCCCATGGTAGGTACACCCTAACACATACAAACATTAAATAAATAGACAAAGGCTGGAGAGACGGCTTGGCAGTTAAGAACTACCTACTGGCTACTCTTCCAGAGGATCTAAACACATGACGGCTCTCACAACCATCTGTAACTCCAGTTCCAGAATATCATATGCAGTCTAGGCTCTGCACACTGCAACACACGCTGCACAGACATACATGCAAGCGAAACAGCCATAGGCATAAAATAAAAATAAATCTTTTTTAAAATTAAAATAATAATAAATAATAGCTGGGTGTGGCGGTCCCACTATAAATCCCACAGAACGTGGGCGGTAGAGGCAGGAGCATCCACTAAACTCAAGGCAACTTCCCACTCTTATCAAAATAGGAGTTTCTGCCTCTCAAAATTTTAAACCCTTGGATATAGCGGAAATACTTGAAAAGGAGATAAAGACTAAATGAGTCAATCTGTGGAGTAAGGGCTGATAATCTTTTACACTGCTTCTGGAACTTTGGGTCCTGGGGCAGAAGGCTCTTGGGGGCGGGGCAGAATGTTTCTACCTTCAGTTTTTCTTTCCCTGAGGGAAGAGCAGAATCTGTTAGCTTTCTGATTGTTTGCGTATGTATGTAATTATTAACTTGAGACAGGGGTTCAAGTAACCCAAACTGGCCTCAAACTGAGGATGACCTTGAAGCCCGCATCCTCCTGCTTACACCTTCCAAGAGCTGAGAGTGTAGGTGAGTGTTGGGGATGGAGCCCGAGGCTTTGCGCACGCACGGCCACATCCTCCTCTTGAAGACAGTCCTCCAAGTCGGAAACGAAGTTCCGGGGAGGCGGACTCAGAGTCGGTTTCCTCGAGGTCCCCATCCGGACCAGACAGCCCGGGGCAGCTTCTGTGACGTGGACCGCACGGCTCGCAGCCCACGCGCAGTCGCGGCCGCCCGCACGCTCACCTTGTTCGTGAGGTGAGAAGCCAGGTAGCAGGTGCAAAAGGTGACGCCGAGCAGGGAGCGCCTCCCGATCATCTGTCAACTCGCTCGGCTCCCCAGGACAGGCTGCGCCCACCGGCCGGACCCCACCCAGCCGCCACGGTCTCGGCCGCCCTGCCACGAGGCTCCGCTCCGCCAATCAGCGAGCAGCTCGCCCGGGCGCCGCCTCCTTAAAGGGGCCTCTCCTGCTAGGACACCTCAGCTTCGCCTCCGGCCCCGGGTCCTCTGAAAGGCGAGACCTTTCTAGCTGCCGGTGGTAGAAAATGGTGGAAAAGAAAGTAAGCACGTTACCACCAAAGACGTCACAGCATTTCTTATGGTTTGAAGAAAAATAGCCATAGCTATTACTGAATGACTGGATGAAAATGCTCGAAGCTTTACCGAATTTTTCCGATTTTCTACGTTGCTTCCGTTTAATTTTGGCAAAAACACAAACAAATTAGCCACGGTTGAAGTTAATTTTAAAGTAACTAGAGAGATGGTTCAATGGAGTGGATATTGCTCTTGAAGAGGACTGCAGTTCGGTTCCCAGCATCCACCTCAGAGGATCCTGCTGGACTCAACAAGTGCACAAGAACAAAAGTACATTCTGAAGTACAACATGCACATAACAGAAAATAAAGTAAATCCAGAAATACTCTTAACAGAAGCTTGAAAACGGAACTTATCAGTAGGTAGTGCCCTAGACCTGTAATCCCAGCAGGTGGGGGAAGGACGCAAGTAAATTCAAAGGTCACCTGGACTGCAAAGGGGATCCAAAGCCATTTGGGGCTGTGTGGCTTTGAGCCACAGACAGGAAGGGAGATCGTCTTTTTCAAAGCAAAATTTTAAACATAGCCTGGGTCGCCAGGACAGGAAATTAACGCTGGTGTGGGCGGATAGTAGGAAATGAACAAGAAGACGTTGGTGATTTGCGTGGTTAATAAAAGGTGCAGGTGGACCAGAGAGGTGGTTCAGCAGGTGAAGGCGCCTGCTGCCAAGACAGACTACTTCAATTCCAGAAAAAAATCAGAAGAAAAGAACGGATATGAAAGTGTGAAGGGGCATCACCGGAGTCCAGGGGAGTGTGAAAAATAGGGGTGGATATCATTAAAATGCATTGCATGCACATGAAAATTTCAAAAAAAAAATAAATTAAAATAGACTTTAAGCTTTGGGTTTGTTTGTTTGTTTTTTTTTTAATTTTCGAGACAGGGTTTCTCTGTACTTTGTTCCTATTGTGTTAGGTTCAATCTTTTTGATGGCTAGTGTTAACTTGACAGTAACTGAAGTAGGAAGAGCCACCTCAAGCGGAGGCACCACTTTCTCACTGGGTGGTGGAGAAAGGGAGCTGAGGGGGCGTGTCCATTCATTGCTCTCTGTTTCTGCCTGTGCTGTGATTGACAGCTGCTCACGCTCCTGCTGCCTTGCCTTCTCCACCAGGGCTATACCCCAGACCATGAGCCAGAATGAAACTTCCTCCTGTCAGTTGCTTATGTCATGGAGTCTTTTTATGCTCACAGGAAAGAAAAGACTCAGACATTAGTTTGGCAATTTCCCTAAAGATACAAGAGAGTTCAAATATGTGATTATTGATATTTTGTTACTTGATTTTACTTTAAAGTTCATATTTTTTCAATACCAGAATGTGGACCTGGCTTGTGACCAAACGCAAAACTGCTGGCTAAATATTTATCAACAAATGTTATGAAAGATTATTGTTCGGTTGAAGAGATGGCTCTTCAGTTAAGAGCACTGGCTGCTCTTTCAGAGGTCCTGAGTTCAACTCCCAGCAACCACATGGTGGTTCACAGTCATCTATAGTGGGAATGGGATCTGATGCCCTTTTTCGGCAATAAAGTTGTATATGAATATAGAGCACTTGTACATAAAATAAATAAATCTGTTTGCGGGTTTTTTGTTGTTTTGTTTTTGTTTTTTAGTTTTTTGAAACAGGCTTTCTCTGTGAAACAGTCCTGGATGTTCCAAAACTCACTTTATAGACAATGCTGGCCTCGAACTCACATAGGTCTACCTGCTTCTGCCTCCCAAGTACTGAAATTAAAGGCGTGTGCCACCATCACCTGGCAAATAAATAAATCTCAAAAAAAATATTATTGTTGTTCCTAAACACATCCAGAAATTCCAATCAAGTGAAACAGAAGAAACCCAGAGCATATGACAGTTTAAAAAGTTTCTACCACAGGACATGGTGGCAAACACCTTTAATCCCAGGCAGAGGAAGACAGATCTCTGAGTTCAAGACCAGCCTGGTCTACGGAACAAGTTTCAGGACAGCCAGAGGTACACAGAAAAACCCTGTCTTGAAAAACCAAGAAGAAAAAGAAATGAATGTTTTGGGCTGGAGAGATGGCTCAGAGGTTAAGAGCATGCCTGCTCTTCCAAAGGTCCTGAGTTCAATTCCCAGCAACCACATGGTGGCTCACAACCATCTGTAATGAGGTCTGGTGCCCTCTTCTGGCCTGCAGACATACACACAGACAGAATATTGTATATATAATAAATAAATAAATATTAAAAAAAAGAAATGAATGTTTCTATCCTAAGTCACAGAACATGTAACTCATATTAGCTTAAATAACAGCAATGTGTTGGTTCATTTAGAGAGTACAAAGTCCTTGTGCTCACAGATAAGCACCAGGGATGTTAACCATGCAGAGCTGTCTCTAAAAAGGAAGAGATGTATAAACTGTTTCCTGCCCAGAAGGCTGGTGTCTTACTTAGGGTTTCTATTGCTGTGAAGAGACGCCATGACGCCGGCAACTTTTATAAAGAAAACATTTAATTGGGAGGATGGCTTACAGTTCAGAGGTTCAGTCAGTTATCATCACGGCAGGGAGCATGGCGGCGCACAGGCAGAGGTGGTGCTGGAGTTGTATCTCAGGGTCCTACATCTTGCAAGCAATCAGAAATTGACTGGGGCAGTAGGCAGTATCCTGAGCATAGGAAACCTCAAAGCCCATCCCAACAATGACACACCTCCTCTAACAAGGTCATACTCACTTCAACAAATCCTATATAGTGCCACTCAAAAAAAAAAAAAAAGAATAGATGTGGTTAATACCTGGTGACCTCTGCATTATCTGTACAGCCAGGCCACACCTGACCGCCCACAGACTTTTACAAACAGAACCTGAGGTAGTTAATAGCCTAGTGTACTTTGTGCTAGCTGTGTGATGGAAACCACACCAGGTTCTCTCCCAGACCCTCAAGATGACACATGTAGCCTATACAGCCTGACTATATGGAAGAGGTGACGTGTTCTCTGGGATTGTGATTTGTGGGCTGTTTTTCTTTGCTTTATGTTTTAAAACCACTTATGAGTGAGTACATGTGATAATTGTCTTTCTGTATCTGGGTTATCTCACTCAAAATGTGTTTTCTAGCTCCATCCATTTGCCTGCAAAATTCAAGATGTCATTTTGTGTGTGTGTGTGTGTGTGTTACTCCTTTGTGTAAATGTACCACATTTTCCTTATCCATTCTTCAGTTGAGAGGCATTTAGGTTGTTTCCAGGTTCTAGCTATGGCAAACAACACTGCTATGAACATAGTTGAGCACATGTCTGTAGTGATATGAGCCACGTGGCCACTTCCTGCTGCCCAGCTCCCGCATGGCTAGGTTTACCCGAAATAACAACACGCAAATTGTATTCTTTTAAACACTGGCTGGCCCATTAGTTCTAGCCTCTTATTGGCTAATTCTCACATCTTGCTTTAACCCATATTTAATAATCTGTGTTGCACTACGAGGTGCAGCTTACCAGGAAAGATCTTAACCTGCGTCTGTGTCAGGTGGGAGAATCATGGCGACTGACTTCACTGCCTTCTTCCCAGCATCCTGTTCTGTTTACTCTGCCTACCTAATTTTCTGTCCTATTAAAGGGCCAAGGCAGTTTCTTTATTTAACCAATGAAATCAACACAAAACAGAAGACTCTCCCATATCACATGTTCTTGTGGCACAATTGAGCATCCTTTGGGTATATACCCAAAAGTGGTATTACTGGGTCTTGAGGAAGGTTGTTTCCTAATTTTCTTAGACATCACCACAGACATCCAAAGGGGCTGTACCAGCTTGCAGTCCCACCAGCAATGCAGAAGTGTTCCCTTTACTCCACATCCTCTCCAGCATAAGTTGTCATCAGTGTTTTTTATCTTGGCCATTCTTACAGGTATAAGATGGAATCTCAAAGTTGTTTTGATTTGCATTTCTCTGATGACTAAGAATGTTGAACATTTCCTTAAGTGTCTTTCAGCTATTTTAGATTCTTCTATTGAGAGTTCTCTGTTTAGGTCTGTACTCCATTTTTTTTTATTGGATTATGTGTTCTTTTGATGACCAATTTTTTGAGTTCTTTGTATATTTTGGAGATCAGACCTCTGTCTGATGTGGAGTTAGTGAAGATCTTCTGCCATTCTGTAGGCTGTTGTTTTGTCTTGTTGATCATATCCTTTGCTTTACAGAAGCTTTTCAGTAGCTTTTCAGTTTCAGGAGGTTCCATTTATTGTTTCTCTCAGTGTCTCTGCTGCTAGGGTTATATTTAGGAAGTGGTCTCCTGTGCCAATGAGTTCAAGTGTACTTCCCACTTTCTCTTCTATAAGGTTCAGTGTGGCTGACTTTATGTTGAGGTCTTTGATCCATGTGGGTATGAATTTTGTGTGTGGTGATAGATATGGTCTATTTTCATTTTTCTACATGTTGATATCCAGTTATGCCAGCACCACTTGTTAAATATGCTTTCTTTTTTCCATTTAATATATTTTTTTGCTTCTTTATCAAAGATCAGGTGTTCGAAGATGTATGGATTGATATCTGAGTCTTCTATTTGGTTCCATTGGTCCTCCTGTTTGTTCTTATGCCAATATCAGGCTGTTTTCAGTACTGTAGCTCTGTAGTAGAGTTTGAAGTCAGGGATTGTGATGCCTCCAGACCTCCTCTCTATCTTAAGCTGAAACAAAATGGCAGCGGTTGCCCCTAACAAAGATGATGCCAAGGTCACGAGGTCTAAACACAGAGGAACCAAGGAATTTTCAACAGACAGAAATAACAAGAGACATAGAGGATGCATAGAACATACATTTAAACAGAATCATA